CACACCTAGTGCCACTGGTCTTACGTTCGACGTGAGCTAGACAAAATAACCTTGATTGAACCATGTTTGATGCCATGAAGACATGCCTGGTGCGATAATAAGTTTTGCATATAGTAGATCCATGAAATTGTCCCCCAAGGTATCTAAAACTCAACAAACCATGCATGCATTGCAACATTTCATACACATGCATCACATATAATTCATTTCTCATCCAAACCACATGCAACCAACAAATCATTCAAATCATAAAAATCACTTTCATAGCTTAAGACACCAAAGCTCAATTACATCCATTCAAAACCATGCAATCCCACCATACAATTGCAACCATTTAACATCTAAATTATGCACACAATTCAGACATGCAACATGAATCCAATTTTAACTTCTCTTACCTCGATTCCGAGCTAAACGAGTAAGAAGAAGAGGAAGAAGGAAGAACTTCAAGCTTCCGAGCTCCACACCTACAACACTTGATTCTCATCTAGAAGCTTTGAATCGACACATCTAGAAGCTTTGAATCGACACCTTCTGATCCTCAAAGATCTTTTACTCCACCAAAAATCCTAGAAAGAAGAAGATGGAAGATTAGCTCCATAGTCTTTCTCTCTAATTCTCACTCTAATTTTCTTTATTCTCACTATAAGTTTCTCTAGGACTTGAATTTTTTAGGCTCAAGTTCAAAAGAAACCTTAAATATCTTCTTTTATAAGGTCAATTGGACTTTTGATAAGATAAACCCTCAAAACACCTCAACAACTCTTTGGGAGTTCTTTAACTCTCCAGAGTTACTCAATCACAATAAAGGTATCACACATACAATTATTATAAAAATATAATAAAGAAATAGAACTTTTAATGTTACATGATACATTTTAATTGTTGATTTTTTTATTAAAGATATTTAAATTTAAATTATAAATAGAGACAAGAATATAAATTAAAAAATATATTAACTTTTAAAAACGTTCTTGTTGAAGAAAAATTCATAATTTTTTTGGCTAAATTGAATTTTTGGTTATTCTATTTTTATTAATTTGCAATTTTGGTCTTTCTATTTTAAAATAGAGACATTTAGTTCTCTTAATTCTAAAAATATAAAATTTTTGGTCATAACATCAATTTATTGTTTGTTGATTATTGAATTTTGACATTATTTAGTAACATGTCACCACTTAAATGACATGGCACTTAAAGATAAGAATTAAAAAATTATATACAAAAAAACAAATCTTTATAGATGAGTGATTGATATTTATTTATTAATAAATCTTATTTGCATGATTTTTTTTTTAGTTTTTTATCTTCAAATATCATATATCTAAACGTCATATTACTTAAATATGAATAAATATTAAAATTTAAAGATCAGTATATATCAATTTAACAAGAGAACCAAAATTTTATATTTTTTAAATTAGAGAATTAGATGTCTCTATTTTAATTTAGAAGGGTCAAAATTACATATTAACAAAAAATTAAAAGGATGAAAAGTACAATTTAACCAAATATTTTCATTGAATAATAATTCTTAAAACATTATAGTATGAGTGAAAATTGTGTGTACCAATATTTTTTTAAAATTTTAAAAAATATATCTACTAATATTTTTAAAATAATATAAAAAAATTTAAATCGTAAATTTAATATCCGTTGTCGATATTATTACACTGGTATTAAATAAATAAAAGTTATTTGTATCCAATTTTTCATTTAATTAAAATAGAAAAGTGCTTTGAAAATCTATATTAATAAATAAGATATTTTTCATTGTTTTGTGCTTGGTAACTGGTAAGTAGGTACGGTTTAAAGTTTTACGTGACTTTAAATAAAAAGTTGAGCCAACAACCAAAAAAAAAGTTAAGTATACTTTTAGTAATGCGTAGGCATCATTTTTTAACCAACCAAAAAAAAATCTATTGCTTGTACTGAGAATATTAACGTGTCGAGAACACAACTAAAATGCTACGGCATAATTCCTCAATACATGTTTAATATACTGTGTCCGTTTTCTCCTTTAAAATTCCTCTATACATTTGTCACTACTCATACTTGGCGTCCATCCACGCTATTACTTTCTTAAAAGTCCCATTAAATTTCGTTTTATAAGGATTATGCCCAATAATTAATCTTATTTTATATAAGGCTTCCATGCCACACTTTCATATATGATTGCATTTAAGACAAAAAAAAAAAAAAAATTAATTAACCAGAGAAAGAAGTACAATTTGATACTTGTCTTCGAAATAGGGATTTGATGATCCATGCATTGTCATCTTTTACACTGATAAAAAGTTCCCACAATCCACATTCTTAGTGCATCTCATCTTGATATAAATATGTTGTGATCAAACATAATGGAAATTTAGATTCTCTCATTATTTAGACAAAACAATCATAATAGAACTTACCATTATTTGTTTAAGATCTATAAATTTTATTTTGTTTTGTTTTCTTTCATAACTTAATACTGACGTGTTAATGTTTAGTAGGAGATTAGTAGAATTCAATAATTAAAAGCCTTGCAAACAAATTAAATATCTATGTAACTTAAAAAAAAAAAAAACATTTTACCATTTTTCTAAACCAAGAACATCATCTTTTGAGAAAAAGCTAATAAAAAGTTATATCATAAAATGAACTCTTACTATTTATTTTTTAAAGTTAAACTAACGAATCATAGAACATGTGTTTTACTTTTACATTATGATACAATGAAAATCCCCTACACTATTGTCGTTTTTAGGCTTTTGTTTATGTACCGTTTTTTGAAAGGAAAAAAAGGAGTGATTTCCCCCTCCCTTTCTCTTTTGTGATGACCTAATTAAGGTGTGTATGCGTTTGATAACTATCACACTTGTCAATCGTGTGTGGTGATAATTCCAAGGTCTTCTTTTCATATTTGTTTTCCTGTCTTGAACTTTTTCTCTATCTTTTTTATACTAGGTTTTTATGTACGTGTGTGAATGAATGATAAGAACTTTTTTGATAGTGGAACCTATAATTGTTGAAAGCTTTGTCGGCAGTAACGACGCATTGTTCGTGCGGATGAAGACATAGCAAGTGCCTCATGAGATAAGCTGTTCTTGGGAAAGAATGGTAGGTAAACCTTCATTTGGGACCTTTGTTTTGATTCATGTTTAGTTCAATGAACATGATGTTTATTTGTGTCAAGAGGGAAAACATCTAAAGTGCAACAAAACCTTACCCGTGTGTGTTGCATGATTATGTTTGGTGACTCAACAACTCATCACTCCCATACCTCATATTCCCTCTTCTCAATATATTGCTGCAAAATCCTAAAAGCGTTTTAGATGAAATAATTATGTTTGATGTACACCAAATTATGCCCTGTTTAAAATTCTTATTTATATTTGATTTATTCAACTTATTTTTCCTAAAAATGATCTGAATAATTCATATACGAACGTGGATGAAAACTTGTTGCCGAAAATTTCTTTAGTGTACTGAAGTAACTAAAAATTCTCTTCCCTTATCTACCCACCATGTTTTGTTCTGATTATGTTTTTTTCTCTCTATACGTGTCGAATAAATTATGCGTTTGAAACAACAAAAACGAGTTCGAACAGAAGATAAATAAATGAGAAGTTTAACTAAACCTCAGTTGAATTTCTCGAAAAGAGGTGACAATAGGTAATTATTATATAACCTCCAAACCATCCCAATTTTTTATGAACACTTTTCAAGCTCCTTTTATATAAAGAATTTTGGAAGATTTTGAGTATGTAAGCAAAGCAAGGAAAATAACTTTTTATTTTTGTTTTGTTTCATTCCCCTCCATTCGCCCCTTCTCCCAATCCCAAACACGAAAACTTTTAATTGAATGAAATTTAATCATATAACAATCGTGAGAAAATCTCATACAAAAACAAGAATATCAAAATAATTATCTGATCAACTTTTATATATTAAATCTAAACAATTATCTTGTACAAAAATAATTTTAAAAACTATTCTTCAGCGAAATTTTATGATATGTTTGGATGAGAAATTTTATAAATTCAAGGAATTTTAAATTTTTTATATTTGAATTACTTTAATTTTAATTTCTATCATTCTCAAAATATTTTGTTTGGATAAATCAATTTGAAATTTCTTAAATTTTAAGTTATTAAGTTGGATATGATAATTTGATTCTACCATGATATAATTGATTTTAAAAATATATTTATATGTTGATATTTTTAAATTAAATTTTATAAAAGTATATACTAGCCAATTAATTTTAAATGTTTAATAGTTTTAAAAAATAATTTTAGATAATATTTAATGATTTTAAAAATATTTTTGAATATTCAGTAATTAAAAACATGAAAAGATAAGAAAAAATATGAAGAATTTTAAATTCTTTATAAATTCTCCATCTAAACAAGGTATTTCATCTCAAAGAATTTGAAAATTTTCTTATAAATGAATTACTCCATTTAAATTCTCCATCCAAACACACTATTAAGAAATTCTCTTGTTATTTTGTTCAATTTCATATTTATTTATAAGTTAAATTTTTATACTTTAAAAATAAAATATCAATAAATAAAAATAATTAGGTTTATTAAAATATATAATATTATTAATTTTTCTCATATATAATAAACCCTAAACTTGTGAAATGTACATTCTAAAATAACTAGTATATAATACAGTAAATAATACATAACCTCATCAAACGTCAAATTAGAATCCAAATGTTATTATATTCATGATTTCAGAAGAAAAAAAAAACTTTTTTTTTTTTGAGGTGAGAAATAAAAAATTATCAAATGTAGCTTATGCTACTAGTACGGGAAATTCTTTATGTGGGTTGAATTATCTGTACCAGATATCTATAAATTTGAATAGTTGATCGATCAAAGAAAAGGGCACCAGTTTTTTGGTTTGTTCAATGCATGGCTTTGCTAAGACGATGGATAAGCTAGATTCATTTATCTCATTTTATATCCTTTATTCACCGCGTACACATCCAAAGGCTCCGGCAATTCAGCTAAACAAATAATCCACATTTAAAACTCAAATGACAAAACTTAGTGCACTTGGGTTGGCTGTTGGCATACAGGAACTCCGACATACATTCCAAAACTCATTATGTGGTAATTGTCATCCACCTTTACAAGGAGATAACAGTGCAAAGAATACAAATTTTCATTAACTACTAAACAAAAAATATACTACAATAAATACATAATGGCAGACAGACTAAAGAATAAGGGTGTTAATTTATACTCATGAATGTCTATGCCGAGAGAAACCAGAGGATCCAATGTTATGGGCACCTCTGTAGTTTCTGCTAGGAGAATCCATCGAGTTCCTGAAGGGAGAGTAGGCAGATTTGGCTGGTTCTGGCACAGTGTCCAAAGGAATAGATTCTGCAAAGCACGCTGTGTTAATGCGTGTCCTCTCAAGCTCTGTGTGAAGGAACTCGGAGCTGTACTGCTGCGCAAGAGACTGAAATGTGCAAATACAGCGTTAGATTGTAAATTTAGCAACAGAATTCAACAGGCAATGACTAATATCAGAACTGCTTTCACAACATAGAGAATCCACGTCAAAATAAACCTCATTTTCGTATAGCAAAACAAGTCTATAGTAACATCACATGCAGCACAAACTAAGGAATCAAAACAAGTTATTCAGCATCCTCACTCAGCAATTAGACATGTCGCGTGAAATGAGCAAGAAATACACTAACTAGTTGCTTACAATGAGCTCATCGGGTGATACAGTTGTTCCTTGTTTATCATCTGCAACTGCATCTTCACTACCACGAGTTGGCCGACGATGATGTCCTGGATTGTCGACAGCATCAGTCACACTCTCTGTGGCTTTTTCCAAAAGTAATCCTTGTAAAGACTTCAAGGAATCTCTTGCATCAGATGTAAAATATGGGTTTAATATAGTCTCAAAGTACTCCAGCTGCAGAGATACAGGTCGATTAATCAACAATCTAAGCTAAAACTTAAGTTCTTGGTCATTATTTGTAAATATATACTGCAGGCAAATGACATGAAACATACATGATAGAAGCATCTTTCGTTTTATCTTGGTACAGAAAAAATAATGGAATAAAGAATATATCTTCCTGGTTCCTTATTATTTTACAATACCCGAGTACAGAAGGTATTTTCTATACTACATAAATCTTTTTCTTTTCCAAATACACCCAAATCTAGGGGGAAGGTTGTCCCAGTCCTAAATCAAGGCATGCCGCAAATTTCAGCAGGGGCTTAATATGTCATCTACTATCATTGGAAGGCTTAATATGCCACAGTACTACAACTTACCTCAAGCATGAGCTGACAGAATCCATTTGTATCAAGTGCACTAAGATCTGTATTTTCATTTTCATGAAAAATGCTGATGAATGTGTCAATCAAGCCTTCTACAAGAATGCCAAGTGTTTTATCCAAGAGAGGTTTGGCACCAGCAAAAACCTATGACAAAAATCATTACATCTCAGCAGACTATCTCTAGGCAAATATAATGAAACCATTATTTATATTATATTAGTGCAGATAAAATATTGTTTTAACTGTAGACATAAAAAAAAGTTTTAAGAATCAAATTTCTAAAGCTAAGACTGCTATGACTAAAATGCTCAATGCATCATGTTCAGGTTATTTATTCACTCCTATGAATTATAGGTGTATGGGCTCAAAGCTAAACTTCCGCCAAAAGTTTAGCAAAGTAAAATACATTACGACGAGGTCCACAAAAGGTACACACAAGTCAAATGGCCATAAAACTAACTCTGAACACTATTCTTTCTTCAAAACCCATTAGATATAGAAAATACCCTTCCTTAACAAGTCCTTCGTCAAGACAGTAGTTCTGATGCACACTATCCAGCAATAACTGGAAGCAGGTATTTTGTAATTCTAGCGAAACTCAAGGTGGAGCATTTCGTATCATAGGTTTTATTTTTCCAGATGAAGCAGCATAATAGCAGAGTTATCTGATTCTACATGTTTAGTATCTTTGGTGGAAAAAAAAACTGTGACACGATTTACTTGAAAATATCAGTATTTTATGGCCTTGGTTGTGTTCAGCACAGTGTATTACTTAAGGTAATTTAGAAAACAAGAAAAACAACCAAAGTGTAGGATTCATTATCCCAAATGACATGCAATACTTACCTCTGCATGCACAGCAACCAACGTGTGCAGCAACTCAACTGCTGCATCACGGACACCCTGGAACATGAAGAGACCAAGATAAAATGGAACATCATATAGAAACAGCATTTTCCAAAAGTAATGGGCAAAAATCATTTTTGAAGGAAAACAAACAAATAATGAGAACTGTCAAATTTCCAATAAATACTATCATCACTAGCTCCTCACTTTAACTGCAGGCGCTGCTCCCCACTGAATGCCAGAATTCAATAGATAATTTGTGGCAGAAGATCTGATCAAGTTTGCCTGAAGATAACACAATAAATCATCATGGTATTGAAATGAAAGCAGGTAGACACAGTGCAAATATTTCCTACAAGAGCACGCCCAGTGTTACTACCCTTGTCTTTCCTGTCCTGCTTCAGAATACCCGGCCTTTTTTAATCTGGACAACTACTAATCTAAATTCAAATGTTTTATAGTACTTGTAACATTCAATATTTCAGCACATCAAACACAACTCAACATTTATACCAAGGATTCGTTTGGTGATCAGGATGTAATAAGATATGAGTACAAATAAGATATAATAAGAAAAAGATAAACTTTAATTTTTCCAATGTTTAGTTCACACCAGATAACAAATTATATAACATTATTGTATTATCAGGTTCTATATTTGACATGGATCAAATAATGATACGATAGAATATAAATTATATTCAAATGAAAAAATTAATGTTTGTTAAAATTACATATGATTTTCTAAAAAAAATGATTTTAAATTTTACAAATTAAAAAACTATAATTTTAACTAAGTTACACAATTATTTTTTATTTATGTAGTTAATTTTCTTAAAAATTATTAAAAAATCATATAAGATTTTTAAAATCATTATTCAAATATTTTTCTTTAAGAAATAGGACAAAACTTACGTAAAATATTATAAAACAAGGTTGATGTTATTCTCCAATTAGAATTAGAGTTTCATATCTATAGTATTGTATCCAGTTTTGTCTCAAGAAATATTTGAATAATAATTATTTAATTTCAAATACTTTTATTAATAATATACTTTAAATTCGCATGTCAAAATTATTATAAATATATATAAGATAATATGTCGAATACAAATTTTAAATAATAAATATAAATTGTTATATACACATCTAAATATAAATCAATAAACACACACACACACACACACACACACACAAAAGGAGTAAAATTAAATGTTAAAAAAAAAAACCCTAACAAGGCCGACCGATGGATTTAAAAAATATCAACCTGCTTCCTTTAAAGTTCAAACCCTAACAAACCCCACCTTTTGTGGGGACAAGGATGGATGGATGGATGGCCAGAAAAGATAGTTATCATATCTCAGCCACCAAATGGACCTTATGAGCTGACCTGATGTTTAGAACTTTGTATAACTTAAGCAGGAGAAGATATTAATTTCTTCATTTATCAATACACAAAACCTTATAATTTATAGTGTATAATATGTCTATACTCTGATATTTGAGAAACAAAGGGCAATCTCTAATTCTAATTAATAATTTGTCCAACAACCATTCATGAAAAAACTATCAATTATTTCAGGTAATTCAGATAATCCACAAAAGTTGATTTCAGAAAAATCAACAAGTATAATGCTATGGTATTCAAAATCCAAAGAAGCAAATATATGCTCTTATAACTCTGATTACAGCCTCTATGTTCATCTGCTTCCCTCCCAGTTATTTTCCTGAAGGGGAACAATATTTTCTCATTACCTTTGCAAAAGTATATTGTTCCAGGACCTTCTCTTCAAGCCCTGAGAAACATATCCCAAGATCTTTTACATCACTGTTTTCTTCATCCTTCCCCCTGAATTAAAGGCAAACCAAGAACAAGAATGCTCTAGTAAATACGAAGCACGATGTTTTCATGGAAAATGTTATAGAACAGAGTGCCTAGTCAGTCACATAGATATATGAGATGATTACAATAGAATTTGATTAGAGGAAATTTATTGCTAGCCAAATTGAAATCAATCTTATATAAAAGAAATGAAATATATACAGACTATCATTTTGAATGAATGATTACAAGCAAATGGTCGTGAAGACATCAAAAGACAGGACTATCTGATTAAAAAAAAAAACTAGAAAATTCTGAGGTGTGAAATCACAAACCAAATGATAATTTTCAAGTAGGGTTAGCATGCAAGTTGCAACCTAATGAAATCAGCAAACACCTTACTCCACTTTAATAGCATGCATTCATGATGAATTCCAAAATATTTTACCAGAACTTTTCATATAGTCAGGGAACAACGACAAAGTACCTGGAATGCAGCCATATGTGTCTATATTTGTCATACAACTCATAAGAAAGTTCATCTTTGCAATATCCAATATTGCTTAGAACAATCAATAACTGTTGATGGGGATCAGTAACACCTCCATGAAGATCAGAAAGAGAATTTTCTTCCAATTGATGTGTATACCCATTTGGTAACAGGGAGCCATCTTTGTCTGATCTATTTTGGCCAAGTTCGATTCCAATACTCTGTAAATTACCTGAAAATTAAACAGAAGTCAATTTATAAATGAAACTTTATGTGCTCTGACACCATTCTGCCCTTTCACTATTTTACTTTGATTTTTTTTCTTTAATCTTGAAAAGCATGCTATTGTGTATAATATTAAGCCAACTACTCCAACATAGCAGCAAAATCCTTTCAACATTGTACTTTTTTTTTCCTTTAATCTCGAAAAACATGCCATTGGGTATAAGATTAAGCCAACTAATCCAACATACCAGCAAAATCCAGAAAGCAGTTTAGAAATGCAAGTCTGACAGATTCTTGAACTTCTTGAAGTTGCATAAACATATCCTCTGACTTTGTTGCCTCATTACTTAAGGACTGAAGCATTCTGAAGAGATCATCAATGAAATATTAACACAAATTTTCACAAAAAATAAATACTAAGACAATCATAAAGCAGGCAACAGGGGCTCTTATGCAAATTAAGATCTTGACAATTTTTTCTTATTGTTCCATGACATATACAGAAACACTAAACATCACTCCAAAGATAGTGGACTAGACAATTGCAAAGCAGGGGAAATGGGTTCTTATCCAAATTAAGGTATAGACATTTTTTTTCTTATTGGACCATAACATAAATAGAAACACTAAACCTCAATCCAAAAATAGTGGACTAGACAAATAAAAAAATAAGACAAAGAGATCAACTATATAGAAAATTTCATGTATGCCTCAAATAAGAATCAAGCAAATGAGTTCTGAAGCAAACAACATTTAGTTATAATAGTTCTTGGTGTATTCAACTTCTATTAAGAACTTTGGTATTAAACTATTTCCTTCGTGGATCATTTTGCCAATATTTTCCCATAGTTTTTCCCTTTTTCCTTTTCATATATTCAGCTCATAGTTATCAATCCCAAATAGTGGCTACAGTGGATAGCGAATAATGGGATGATTACTATTTGAAATTTTAGAAGGTAGTTAAATTATATATATATATATATATAGGGTTCACAAGAAAAAGGGTGGCAGCAGCGGAAAACATCTGAAGTGGTTGGGGACAAAGAGATGATCATTTGCAGCTTTGTGAATGAAAGAAGGGTTTTGAACCCTTTCATTATATAACAGAAGAGGGGGGAGTGAAGTCACAAATCACCCCCACCCTACCTTGCATTGTAATCAGTTGCATCCAGCAATTTTACACTTTCTGGCTCAACAGTGGCTGCAACTGCCATGAATGAAAAATGTGATGCAATCTGGAAATAGTGGCCAGACCAGAGGCTGTGATGCAAAACTCTGCTGCAATAGTGTGTAATTGATAACTATGGTACAGCCACTTTATAAGAAAGCTAAAACTTGAAATAAGTGAACAACTGAATATTATTCCTCAGACAATTTATGTACATGGAGATTACAAATACCTAGGATGACTAATTAATTTTAACCTATTAGTTACAGGAAAATGATCTGCTGTCCTGATTACAGAATTAAAGAAAACTAATTACAGGAAATAATTCTGAAATAAATCTGTACAAAAATGAAATAAAGAAATAAATATCTCATGCTAAAACACTAAGATTAGGAACCAATCTATCTGGGAGAAAATTTCAGAAGCAAATAATGAGTAATCATGTGAGAAGATGGCCAAGAAAAGCTCCAATAAGAAAAGTAGTTCAAATTAAAAACCTATTCTAATTAAATTTAAAATTTTTAGAGAGAAACCTAAGAAAATTATGAAAAAGACCAAGCTCTTAATGGTTTTACTGAAAATTTGTTTTCAAAACCTGATCGAGCTCAGTGGTACTGATTCATGCTGCTAACTACATCTATTGAGATAAGCTAGGGTGCTGTTGGACAGCCAACTTACAATATATGCAGAAGGAGGCAATATACCATGAATAGGCATCACAAATGTAAAAGGAAAAATGAAATTGATCACCCACTTCATTACTTTGTAGCTAGGTTTTATTGCATTTCTAATCACCCACTTCACTTTAAGGCATCAGATCCTACATGAAAATATTTAGACTTACGAATTGATTTGATCCATTGCTGAGGCTACAACTGAACGGAACATTAAAGGCATGTATGAGATTGCATATGGGGATTTGTTTCTTTCAAGAATTGAAACAATAACCCATGTCACATCCTTTGAAACCTCTTCAACAGATGCTCGCATCCAAGAGCAAAGCCTCAGTACGTAAATCCTTATAATTTCTGATTGCAGTGCTCGGATAGCACCAACTAGAACAAAGAAAGAGACATGCACTCAGAACCTTGACAAATGACAATAACTTTTAGATTTGAAGAACTTATACCAGCAATTGGCGGAGCAGCTTCCTTCAGTTCCAAAGCTGCACATGCTTTAGATATATCTTCTATGGCATCACTCATGTAGGACCGGAGGACATTTGATTCCTCTAGTTCATGAAAAATGTTAGTAACCTGCACAAATGGTAGGTGATCAGAACACATGCAACACCAATAGCATAAAGAGAAGACCATGATAAATTCTACAGGTCAAATCATTCATGTTGCAATATACACTTCTCTAAATTACTAGACTAGGTTTTGACATGTAGGTAGCCCCACTATTTTATGTTTATATAAAAAATAGGCTTCTAAATATAAAAAAATAGGACTACAGAGAGAAGAAAGACAGGGCAAATACAAGCCAGATCTTGAAAAGGAAAATTTCACACAGATATAATTCCAAGACTTCTCTAAATTACTAGATTAGGTATTGACATGCAGGTAGCCCCATGATTTTGTGTTTATATAAAAAATAGGACTAAAGAGAGAAGGAAGAGAGGGCAAATACAAGCCAGATCTTGGAAAAGAAAGTGTTAAACATAAATATAACTCCAAGACTTAACGAGTTATCTATGTTAAATTCAGGAGACCGTCAAGACTAATAGCACTCACAGAAAACCTTGTTAGCCTAGTAGCACAAGAATGACAGATGTTCAAAGAAAATAGTATCCAGGACAGAAGACAAGGCATTTCTGACATACCTCCTTTATGACATTCAACATTCTTTTTATGTAATAAAAAAATAAAAACAGTATTCTTTGTTCGCATCTCTAGCCAGACAAAAGAACAGATAATTTAACCAGGAAAAATTCGACAAATACTTCTAACCCAAATCTCCAAATTCACATGATGTTAACCAAACTATATAAATAAACAAGTGAAAAGAAAATACTATTGAAAATAATATATTGCACTACAGAGAAAATAAGTGAGCACTATTTACCTTTCCTCCATACAGTGATATTGTGCTGCATATCATTGCTGCAACTTCATCAAGAGAATGACCAGAGTATTTCCCATCTCCAGCTTTTTCTTCGATTTTATTTGCAGAACTGTTGGAATTTGAATCAGTGGGAACTTGGGAAGACTGGAAAAACAAAAATGACAACACAAATATATAGCAGATGTAATTATGAATGACAACATTAAGAACATAAACACACTAAAATAAAAAATAAAAAATGGTAAAATACAGCAAACAAGACCATAACTGCATTTCCAGAAGAATCTTACAGAGTCTAGATTAGCAAGGAAGAAAAATTAAAAACTTGAAAGAAGACACAGAGAATAAAGAAAACTCAAAAGAAGAAAAAGATAATAAAGAAAAGATTTCAGTGATGTGCTGTAACTAAGAATGGAAATAAAAATTTAGAAATAACTCACACATGTATACACTAAATAATAATACCTTGGCAAAAAAAATAATAATACCTTGGCAAATTTTCCACTGAAAATAGAGAGTGCAATCTTCCAGAAAGCTGGTATATGATGGATGATTACAGCGGTTAATCTGTGGAAATACCTTCCTCTTAAACTATCAACCTCTTCACCAGTTAGATCTGCTGGATGAGACTGGACCGTAGGATAGGTATCACCAATAGGATAGTTGTTGATATCTGACTGACAATAGTCGTAAAAATAATATTAACAAGAAACTTAACACCAATGTTTTAACCTAGCTTAATGAAAATAAACTTTACACTTACAGATTCATTCATATCTTCTTGAATCTGCCTCCATCTTGCATCAGAAAGAGCCCTTTCACGCAACTCATTATGCAAATTTTCCATTCTAGACTCATGGTCTAAAGTACACTTCTCGAGCAGACCACGGATTCTCTGATTCTGTGAAAGAAACAAACCCAATTGACTCAACAATTTGGCCATCCCATTGAAAGTGAAAATGACGAGTTTTAAAAACAATCAAAGGATTCAAAGCTCAAAGTGTGAAAAATTAGAAGTGTGAAAAAAATCAAGGGGGCAGGCAGTAGGTAGAAGTCAACATGATATTTAGTCCTCATAACAAGTCTACAATAATATTACTAACAGCAACATTCTAGCAAATGACATTTTATCCTTAATCGTCAATATTGTTCAGTATATAGTTAAACAACTATAGCAGAAAATATGAAAACTAAATGGAAAATATTTCAAACATGGCATGAAAACAAATTTTTGAACCTGTATATTCAAATAATGCCATACTGGATCTGACTCCGGCTCCAAATCCAACAGTAACCTCACAGTATTCTCAAGCTACATGAAGAACAAGCAAGTGTTATAATCACCCTAGCAACCACTGATACAAGATCATTGCAATCCATTTCTAACTTGATCACCACATTATTAACATATTAAATATAACCACCAACCCACAATGTTGTCGGTATAGGTAGGTTTTACTAGTGTCCATGCAAACAAGATAATTGTAAGGATTAAGATGCTTCTTTTCTCTTCTATGTGCTTAAGAACACCACAATCTAACATAAAATATTGACAAGAACTAATACAACAGTTCAAAATATTCTTCAACAACTACAGAACTTAAGTTCTGTTTTAGAAAATTGACTATTGATCAAATGATGTTTGCAGAGTCGATGAATTTTATGGACTAATGAACCCTATTTCTTGCATACTTGATCAAGTCCCTAGGCCTTCAAAATCATGGAAATTGTGCACCCAATTGGATTTCACTCAGCATATTGGAGAAAAATGAAGATGAGCTTCTACCAAGATTTGGCTCAGCCATATCAGGAGATGAGCAGATTCGAGCCAGAGAGCAAAGAAAGTTCTGCAGCAGAACATCTGCTCAGCCAAATTAAAAGGGCTGAGCGGATTTGGCCCAAAGAACCAAGAAATTTACATTCCAAAAAGGGTTGAGCAAATTGGAAACGACCCGGTGGGTTGAACTTTCTTCATCATGAAGAATTTATATTCCGCTCAGCCAAATCCAAAACAGCCAAGTGGATTGCTCACTTATGTGATGCTCTATTTTTTTTTACTGGTGATATAAAAGGGAATTGGAGTGAGAAAGTGAGCATCAAGTAAGCAGAAATAGGGTGAGATGAAGTACGGAAGAAAGGAGAGAGCTTCAAAACCTCTGGGGGCAGAAGATCTTGGGTTCATTTTCTTTACTTACGCTTTCATTGTAAAGGGAATAGCTCTCACTACCATGAGTAGCTAATCTTCCTCCTTAAATGTAAATCTATCAGACTCTTATATAACCCTTTTGATTTATCTATATATATATATATATATATATATATATATATGATATCCTGTTATTTAGTGTTAGTGATTGGATTTTGTGCTTAATGCTTGGGGTGAATTGATCATTCATCTTTTGATTGGAAAATAATTTCTAAATCTGATTTGAATCAAAACAATTCACCTAAAATTCTAAATGCTAGAAATAGATTTAGAGTGGTTAGTTGATAAATTCTTGAGCTTAATGAAAGGAATCTAATTTGGTAAACTAGGAATTGGTTATTAAATTAGGATCCTTAGGATTCCCAAAGACAAGGAATTGATTTGGAATGATTTTAAGAAGTCAATAACACTGAGTGATAGGAATCATATGTAAAAATCTTAGGTGTAGAGGCATGTGATAGATGAAGTTCAATCCCAACAGTTGTTCTAATTGTCTTCTTAACATTATATTTGTGCTGTTATACTTGTTGCTCATTAGTTTTAATGTTCAACTGCAAAACAACAAATTTATGCACAATTGTAAATCTTTCTTTCACAATTTTTAATTAGGATAATAGAAATTATAAAATATCTAACAAGTCCCTGTGGATACGACAACCCGTACTTCAAAGATACTACAGCAGACTTGGTACTCTTGCCAGAAATCGAACAATAAACCATATCAGTGTCATGTCCAAATGAAATGCAATTTCATAAAAATGGTTGCACAGATATTTGAACCTAGTATATCCTGCAAACTACCCAAAGACCTTGCTGCTAGACCACTACCAGTGGGCATGTCCAAGACGACGTGCTTCAATAAATGTCAAAATATCATGCTAAAAAAACAGAAAGGAGGAGTTAAAATGGTAAAGCTTTTAAGTAAAAATCAATCTGCAAGAAAACATGAGCTCTCTCCTTATTTATGCATTTCTTTTTAATCCATCAAAAAAGTGAAAAACTAATGAAATTTCATTCTAAATTGGACTAAAGAACAACTAACACTCATGTAATGTTATGCATCAGTTACTGCTAAGCAAGATCCAGGAGCAATCATAAAAATGCAGGTCAGCACAAAGATATTGCATAATGAATGCAACCTTGTTTACATCCCAATGCTTCTTTTAATTAAATTCATTTCAACATAGCAGGTAAACTGAAGAAACTAAAAACTTACATTTGTCAGATCTATCTGTGGATCTTCCATAGACTTGAAAAGCATAGACTTGAACTCATTCATCACCTTCTCAACCTCTTCGAGAACACGTTTTAGGATACCTACCTGAATCTGAATTGAGACCAAAAGAATAGTTTGAGTTCAGAAAGTGAAAGAGAATAATAAAGCAGATCCTTAGAATTACCAGATAAAACCCCAAAAATGATATACCATAAATTAATAAATCCTTGAATGGATTCAATTCTTGTATGAAACAATGGATGAAACTACAGAGCAAATATTCATGAGCCTGTATACTAGAATTTCAAGAAACCTCAAAATTAAAGTTGTTTACTAATTAAACAAAGGAAACCTACAGAAAGGACAAACAATATAAAAGTTTTATACATGGGAGGGCAGAGCAATTGATTTGGCCTTCTTGTACTCCCTGACTGCCAAATCATATTCACCCTTGCTAATGCTGCCACGGATAGTACTTGGTAGGTTGAAAAGCGTCCGAAACCTCTGTAGCATACCTTGGACAGTCCTAATTTTTTCTGCTTGAGCCTACACAGTTCATAGAAGTCATGAATAAAATTATTTTGAAATCTAGAACTGCAGCTAAAAAAAATCTAGAATAAAGACTTCAGTCACCTGTCTCTCAAATAAAGGCTTCAAAGCCCGATTAGCCTGCAAACTGACTCCCTGAATAATTTCAAACAAATGAGAGGTCCCAGACCCTTCAGGGTCTTCCTCAATCCGCCTTAACTTTGACTCAATATCTGTAAATTAAAAAAAGAAGTGTCACACGAAGAAAAAAAATAGATATGATTTGACATTACTACACTTTACTTTTTTTTTTTTATCATGCTTGAACAACCAATGAGAAAGAAAGAGCAAGAGCTTGAGCATGATAGAAATGCCAGTCACACAAGAATAAAATATTACTTCTGAATGGTTGAAGTATGGTTTAAATACCATGCAAAAATAAAGTTCCTACCATCAATTGTTGTTTTGCAAGAAACAAAGCAGTCAAAGTTGTCCTTAACCAACTGCTTTCTCTGCTCGGTACGACTTTTGAAATCAGTTTTCAAAGAAAGTGCACCAGCCTCCAGATCAGCGGCACTGGTATTACTGTGTATCCGTGATAAGAAGAGCTTTGCATCAAAGTTCTCCGAAAAATACAGCAATTTTTCTGCATAGCGGCATCAAAGATGCTATCAACCTAGCCAAAAAGCACATAAACAAAAACCAAAAAGAGAGCTACGAAGAAGAAAATTGCAACAAGTTTTCCAATCAATCTAACCAATACTAGCAAATGGTTATTTGCTACATTTGTAAAGTATAACTCATTTTATAACATACCATTTATAGCCACATTCTTATAACCATTATTTAGTACAGCAAGTACTTGGGTATAATCACAGTTTCACAATTATTTTCATGGAGATTAGCATCTGCCTTTTTTTGTTTTTGATAAAGAAGAAAACAACCATACTGTGTCAACCTGACACAAGGTAGACAGGCAACAGAAAATGCTATCACATGTTTAGAGATGATAGCATAAAATTCTGTTTCAAAACTTGCTTCTGCACTTTAAATGGAAAGGGAGAATTCAAGAGTCAGAAAGTAGGAATGGGAATATGAATGAGTAAACAATGTGTTTCTAAGTAACTTCACAGAATGAGGGAACAGTCATTCCCCCAAAAAAATAGACATGGTATCCTTCTGCTTACACATCGTCCAAAACATTCCAAATCCATCAAGGCCTATTTTATTTAAATTAGAAAATTATGTTTTCAACATCAAATATCAAAATCCATCTTCTAATAATAATTTCTTACCTTTTAGTCTTAAAGAAAACAAGCAGGAGGAATATATTTAAATGCAACAAGGAACTTAGGAACATAACATGAAAAGCTCATAAAAGTAGTTGTCTCCCAGTCCCAGCAAATCAGAGATAGAAACTCATGAAATAGCCATGAGCTAAACACCTAAGGGAAACCATGAAAGCAATCTTTTGAAATTGGGTATTAGTTTAATCTATTAAAGGGCTTTAGTTATGTGAGTAGTTCCTTAATTTATCCTGGTTATTGGGCTCATGTTTTTTACTTTTTATTTATCCTTGGATATGGTTCACCCAATGTTCCAAAGTCGACAATCAAGAACTAATTTGCGCTTATGAGACATGGCATCCACTGATCAAACATTATTTTAATTAACTCCCAAAACTTGATCAGTCCTATACTCCTATTTAAATGTGTTAAAAGAGAGAGACAAAGATCTCATTTTCTGAATATGCTAGAGTGATAATTCCACCCAGCCCAATAGATTTATTTATATATACAAGAGAATTACAAAGATAATTAATGTCAAAACAATTTACAAAAGGACAATTAAGATACAGTACTTCCTATGATGCATTGAACCTAGCTATACCAGGTATCCAGGCAACTTGGAAAATTAAACATTAAAGGAGTTCCTACCTACTAAAATATTCCTATAAATTTCCAACAAATGACATAATAAGTAATTAAAGAATCAGAAAATTTTTGAGCCCCTAGTCAAAATTTGTGATTTCACTCAAAGCCATGATGCCTGAGAACCCAAGGTGATGTAAAGCCTAATATTTTCTCCATTTTCCTTCATCTTTTTAACTCTGATTTATAAGTTCTAACAATTAAACATCCTATTCAGATCATTAAATTATTCTACAGGCCATACCATATTCCAATTCAATCCTAGCATTACTGTCTGCAGGTCCTGTTTACCTTCCTAAAACAGAACAGAACCTTTACTCAATCGACAAATAATGGACTGCAATGAATTGGAATTGATGATAAATGCAAACAAGACCTTTCCTAGTAAGAGTGCTTCCTAGATATTTCTTTTCTTTTAATCAAAAATTGTAACAAGACGTGATTTGTAAAAAAAAATTATTAGTATGTATAGAAAAATAAGAGAACTATAAAGACTGACTTTAATAATGTAAATATGCTACATAACATCTAACAAAAAAATTTACCACGTAGCATGCCATCCTGATTATCCTTGTCAATCTTAGGAGAACTGTCTGAATTCTCAGTGATCAACCTTAGTGTTCTGTTGTCTATGATCCTGCCAAATGCCAATAACAGCAAATCTCCAGGGATTAATTGCTCAGAGAACTGAAGTAACGTGGAAATAACACCAACTATAGAGCCAAAGTCTAACAAGACAGAAACAGAAACCGTGAAGATTAGCATTAAAATGAACTTTACCCCAACCCCAGTGGGTCAACACACTCCATGCCACGAGGGAATGACTGTAAGTAAGTAAGCCCCTTTCTAACCCCCAATGCAGAAGGTTTCCTTTCAAACTTTTGAGCCACAGGTGCTGTTCTTGTTTCCCTCATTTCACGAACCCTACGAGCAAGCTGTCAAAGAAGCCCAACTACATTAAATTAAACAGAATTTGATAAGTACTTTCATTTAATAAAGAGAATTTCATTTAATTTCATAGAACATGAATGAAGCATCTAAATTTCAATCTTCCAAGTTCATGATGAAAAACATATTCCAAAAGATTTTGTAGTGTATTACTAAAAAAATATTAACAGCACAAAAAGAAAGCAATGAAAAACAGAAATGCAAGTCAAACATAGCCCATAAAACATAAGATGCCCACAAATCTAATTTCTTCCAAGTTCCAACTTACAGTTAACAGTGCACATAGCCCCTCCAAGGGTATGTTATATTTAAGACAAGTATAATTTCACCCTAGTTGCAATGCAGACATCAATTATACAATCTAGGATGTTATTAGTATGCTACACAGACCACTTGTAGAGTTGTAGTTTTTCCACAATGGTTTATCACCAGTCGCATAATAACAAGCAATTACATTTCATTTGAAATTTGAATGGCTGAAAGAGAGCACGCCAAAATGCAAAGAAATACAATAGTCATCAAAAAAAACCCTCCCCAAACCACCAAAAAAAAAGAAAAGGGAATTGATAAAGACATTAGTTCCTTCGTTCAAGTACACAACAAAAGAAAAACACAAGCAGGGATATCGACACATGCATGTTGCAAAAGACAAGGAAAGAAAAACAACCAAAAGTGAAACTACAATACTTCACGAACTCTTCTTCAACTTCGTTTTGGAATTTATCTCGTCGAATTTACTGAAACAGTCTAAGAGTAATGATACATTAGCATTTATATTCCTATGAGTAGGGTTCTCGCTTACAGCAGCTGATTCCCATTCTATCAGTTTTCTCTGAATAGTTAGTTAGTTGATTAGGTTTCTAACCATTTAGTTAGTTAATTCGTGCACACGTAGCTCGGTAACTTCTCTAGCTACAAATGTACGATGAGCTCTTTCTATCTGCACATTATATACTTCTAACTCTACGATATGTTTCCGTAACAGCCTTCTCCACCATCTCAGGTTCCAAACATTATCCTCGTGCATTTGGAAGGATTACGCGAAGATTAACAAATCCAGAACATAGAGCATTATAAGCATACCTCAGACTCGTTAACGTGCTTCCAGCGACTAGGCTCGTCGCCGTCCCAGGCGCGATCATCGTCCATGGGCGGCGGTCTTCCGGCGGGGGCGGCGCGGGTCTTGGAGGCGGCGACGGGATCCTTGGCGTTGTCCTCGTCGCCGCTGGAGATGCTGAGCATCTCGATCTCGGAATCGTCGTCGTCGTCGGGGACTCTGGTTTTGGCCTGCTTGGACGGAGCAGCGGTTTTCTTAGGGTGTTGGACGTAGTTGGCGACGGGCTTGCGGGAATTGTTGGGAGATTTGCCGTAGTTGAGATCGCGCTGCGATTGCTCCTTCAGCGCCATCTGGAGAAGCTCGTCCTCGTCGCTGTCGCTCGACATCGTCACGGAGAAAGATTGATTCTAGATCTGAGGGACTCTCCAACCAGAATCTTCCAATCTCAATGTATTTTTCCCCCAATTTCTCTTTTACTTTTTTATTCTGCAATAAATTCACTTTTTCTGTATTTATTCTAATTTTCATTATTAAGTCGCTTCTCTAGTTTTAAAATAATTTATTATTTATTTTCAAGTTATTTTAAAATGTTAATATTTTTGAGCGATTGTTTCTTGTAATAAATTGAAGTTAATATTGACGAAATTACTTTTACTTTTCTCTTTGCCATTTTCTTTTAGTAATCGGGTGAATTAAAGTGGTTGACAAATATTCATCACTTGGTGGCATAATGTCAAGGATGGAGGATGGCGTGTAATGTATGTTGCAGAAGAAGAAATATTGAATGTATTTGAAAAACTTTAATACGATCCTCTCATTAATTTTTTAATATATTTTTTAATAATCATCGCGCATACTCTAAGTAACTTGAACCTTTTTTTTATTTTTTATTTTTTATTTTCAATTACTGGCGCAAATCTCACATACATGTGTTATGAATCTATACTAATCAAAAAGAGATTGTCTCATTTATACTAAGCCCCCATTGAAAAAATTTATGAAGAATTTATTTTATTTTATAAATATTTATGAGAGTATTTTGAAAATTTTATAAAATATTTTATGAATAATTTATAAGATGTTTTTAATTTATTTTAATAAATTATTCAGTATAATTTATTATTTAACTGATAACTTATTGAAAAATATTTAAATTTAAATTTTGTCATTGATGTAAAAAAATATTTATTATTTTTTAAGTAAAAATCAATTTTATATTTATTTCATTAATATTCACCAAAAAAAAACATTTACTTCATTATTCTTTCCAAAAACAAAAATTGTTTCTCTTTTCAAAAGCTTTTATTTTATTTTTACTTTATTTTTTCTCTTCTCCTTCAATTTTTTTTTCTATCTCTCCCCTGCAAAAATTTACATTATCCTATTAAAAACTTTCTTGACTTTATTTTTTCCTAAAAGAACATATGTAAAATAATTTTGTTGTTGATATTTATAAAATAATTTTTAAAAAAATTATATAGAATTAAATTTTTATTTTTAAAATTTATGGCGGTTAATTTATATATATATATATATATCCAAATGTAATAATTTATTAAATTTTAAACACTTTTTTGTGAGCTTATTGATTATCCGGTTAAGCATTGAGAGCTAAATTTGATTCTTTGAACTGTAAATGGAGGCCATGAAATTGTTGCTTGCATATGTCCTCTTATTATTGTTAACATTCAGCACTTGTGGCTATGGCCTATGGTCTTTACCTTATTTTTTTTATAATGGAAATATAACACTTGGTTACATACATTGGATTCAGATTAAGTGTTCCCTTCCATGTCCTCCTGAGAAATGTTCGCTTCATCGGTGATAAAAAAAACTAGACTGATAGAGAATGCCACCGCATAAAATTAAGAGAACTTTTTTGTTTGTTGTTATATGTCATTGGGATGAAGATTTAGTGTCACTTAGTTTTGAACATAAATGAATTGGAATGTAGCAAATTATAGATTCTTCGTACCTCTATTAAGAATGTATCAATAATTTTTTAAATTTCAATTTAGCATGCAGCTCTAATTTATATCATCCACATGAAAGAGACATGTTATTTAGATTCTCATGCATGTATGTAGATGTCATCTGACAAATCCTTTATTTATTTTTTGTAGTTTCATGTTTGAATGGAGGCATGGTAATCGGAAATTCGCACCTCCATGGCTCCCTTTGTTTCTTTGCAATGTTGGGAAGATTCAGAATTAAAGGGAAAAGCAGAATGTTTGTCGGATCTCATCTCACATACATCGTATGTGAGTATAATGTATCATTTTTTATTGCGTCATAACTCATAATATTAATTGTTCATGTAAAGATGAAGTATCAGCAACATGTAAGAATGATATAAACGCATATAAAAAAAATTTGTGATTCATTGATCAGTTCAATGAAGAATAGGGTTCATGAATCTGAGAGGTTATCTATCTTATCCCAACATTGTGATCCAAATTGTCCACTTTTTGTTTACAGAAGCAGTGGCAAATGAAAATCCTCTAATACTTTAGATTATTTTATAGTGAGCAATAACATGGTTTCCTTTGAAGCAGCAGGGAGTAAAATATAAATATATATAATGAAGGCATGAGTCATGAGTTTGTTATGTGGAATGCCACGTTGATTGAGCTGGAAGGAGGGTGAAGGAGGCAATTGAGATTGTGAATGCATTGAACTTGGAAAGTGGGAGGGGAATAATCCAGGGTGGTCTTATTAGATGGTGGTGTGTGTGATGAAAGGTGGTGGTTTAGAGAGGTTGGGTGTTGTGAGAAAGAATCATGTGGATGCATGTGCATTGGGTTGGAGAACATGCCCAAAGCAACAAGCAACACACTTAGGTACACCTGTCTCTCTCCCATTCCCTTGGAAGCCTCCTTGGAAATTGTGCTGTGGCCCCCACCTCCTAATCCTTAATGCAAACCATATAAATTCTGCTCTCATGCTGTGTCATTTATGCTATGCCTCAACTTGAAAAGAGAGAATATTATGGGAGTTTCTTCATCACTTGTTTCCCTCTCTTTGAAAGATCTGCTTCAGGGAACTGAAGAAAACAGAACTTCATCATATTTGTGGAGCAAAGTGTTGGCAGCACAAGCCAAGAAGGGTACAAAGAGAGGTGTTAGGAGGCCAAGAAGGATTTTGATGAAGAGAAGGGGTGCCTCTAGAAGAGGCTCCAATGGGATTCGGCGACGTGTCAGGACATTGAAGAGTCTTGTACCCAACAGTGACTCCTTGGGGTTGGATGGACTCTTCAGAGAAACAGCTAGTTACATATTGTCTTTGCAAACTAGAGTGAAAGTCATGCAGGTTATGGTTAAGGTATTGACAGGGTCTGATGAGGAGTGATTGGTTTGATTGTAAAGACTAATTATGATATAAGATTTTTGTTTCCTTGTGGCTTCTAGTACAGAAACATTGATTTCAGATTTTATCTGTAATGTTTTATGCCATCTAGATTTAGATCATCTCATGTTGTCAAAAAGGAATCAGTGCTACTGGCTTATTACAGTCTTTGTCATTAATCACATATTTACTTGTTTTGATCAATCACTCAATTGGGTTTTTTTTTTTAATTAAGCTGGTAATCTTTATAATGCAGAATTTAGTTTTACCCATTTATGTGTTCTTGATATACATGAGCAGTGATGCAAAACTGAACATAATAGCGAGCACTCTTGAAATTTGAAAAAGAAAATTCTGATTGAAGAGTTAAAATCTGAAAGTATTAGATTCATGGGTTAATCCACTTTATATGATCATGCATCACTTTTAAAAGATACCAACACAGGCAATTTTGGATCTTGAAAAGTCTCGGAAGAATCGATGTGATGGTTCTTGTTCTCTTTTGTGAGTCTTGTGTGTCGAGTGATGGAGAGTTCTAATTGGCTTCGGGTGTGGCTGAAGTTCTGTGGTGGTGGTGGTGTCGATGTCCTTTTCTCCAATGGTTCTTGGGGGGTTCAATGGGCACTTGGAATTATTCCTCATGGTTTGCACCATTGTGGAGGACAATAATATTGAGGCATATTTATGCCATGCATTAAGTAATTAGAAAGTATTTTATTTGTAATATCAGTAAAAATATAATTTAACAAAATTTGATTGCAAAAAATTTAGAATCAAGCACAAGTAAACATATAACGCATGAAGAAAGTAAAATTTTATCCCAAGACTTAACTGGTAGAAATAAAATAACTTAACAAATTGTGTCAAAGCTAAATAATAATACATGTTAGCCTTAACAAAGTAATCTAGTTTTTTTTGTTTTATTTTTAAAAACAAAAATTGTAATTTCTAAAGAAAATAAAAATGAGCATGATCTAAGATCGAACAACCATATATTGTTCATTCAGACTTTTAAGAGACCTGATGAAATAATCATTAGGATTGGTTGATCCACAAGAGATCATGAATGAATTGATAGCTAAGACTAAAGAAATGCATGGATTCTCAAAGGATTTATGATAGATCAAAAATCAAATTCGCCATCTAAAAAATGATTGAGGAACCTTAATAGAAAAATCAGAATAAAAGCACAGCAGTGGAACTCTCATGAAAAGGAGCTTGGAACTGAAAAATAACTATCGAATGTTATTTAACAACTAATTTACTAACAAGAAACTAACTAGCCAGTGCACATCAAGCCAACATAAATAATGTTATTTGTATAGTTAATCTTATTAAACACTTATCTTTTTTAATCTATTCTCTTTTATAGTTGTTTCTATATTTAATTTTACTATTTTTTTTAAGATTTGTCAATAATTTAAAGTAACCTAATATTGTAATTTAAATTATTCACTATATATTCCAAATATAATTTATATATTTAAAGATATTTAATTATTATATTTTTAATTATAATATGATTTATGTTAAAATATTTACGTCATTAATTTTAATATAAGAAATTATTTTGTGAGTTTAAATACTATTTTCTTATGGTTTTTTTGCCCATGACACATTATTTTCTTTGTCTAAAATTCTCTTATTTCTTGTCTAAAAACTTTTCCCCTTTATCATTTTTCATTGCATACTTTTTACTGTTTTAAAGCCTTATTATTAATTGTTTTTGTATTTTAATTTAGTTCTTGTATTGTGTCCACATAACGGATTAACTCGTTCCGTACAATAATTGTGGACCAACGTGTTACTAGTAAGTCGTCTGTTTTGACACTGAAATAAAATACATGGTAATTTGTCATCAACTTTTATTACTATATATTATATTATAGAAGATAATGCAACTTTATCCAAAATATTCATACTTATATTTGAGGACTAGTGTGACAAAGTGTGTCCCGTGTAAAATTGTTTTTGTTCTTTTTTCTTTTTTAAAGATAGTGTTCCGTATATATATATATATATATATATATATATATATATATATTATAAAAATTTAAGAATAACCTAAAAATAATCAAAACATTTATATTTATAAAATATCAAATTATATTAAATTAATATAAAATTTTGTATATATAATTTTAAATTAAATTAATTAAAAGGTAAGTGTTTGTTAGCAACAAATCAAATGTTAGGATATGTTTAAATAATTTTTTTTTCAAAAATATTTTTAAAATAAAATAGAAAAGTTTCTTTATGCTATTTCTTACATGTTTTTCTTTTTCTTACTTTTTCTTTTCTTTTCTTTTCCTCTCTTACTATTTCTTACTTTATTTATTTATTTTAATTAAAATGTAAGTGTTTGTTAGCAACAAACCAAATTTTAGGATATGTTTAGATTTTTTTTCTTCCAAAAATACTTTTAAAAGAAAAATTACAAAAAAGAAGTTTCTTTATGCTATTTCTTGTTTCTTTTTCTTTTTCTTACTTTTTCTTTTCCTCTCTTTCTATTTCTTTTTCTTTTACCAAACAAATCTCAGCATCAATACATTACACTCTTCATTTGATGAAAATTATTTATAAAATTTCTCAATTTTGTAAATGTGATCAAGGGAATGTAGTTCTCAAAATGTTAACAAATTCTTAAACTTTATATTTTCATATTATTTATATTCGTAATATAAGAGTTCAAATATATTGCTCATATGAATGAAACTAAACTTAAATCATTGAAGTAAAATATTGAATTCAAGTTTTAAATATATAAAATAATGTTTGAAAAAAATATCTTAATTTAAAAAGGTTACAATTAATTGTCATTAATTTATGACATATATAAAGATGATAATCTAATTTAATATATACATTTTTTAAATATTTTTTTTATATTTGTAAATAATAAAAAATAATATTAAAAATTATTTATTTTTATAAATTTAATATTTAAATTTACGATCTTGATATCTAAGGATAAGTATAACACTAATTGATTCAATAAATATTGATATTTTTTAAAATAAAATATAAAGATATAGAATGTTTCAACTTTACTAATTTTATATAATAAATCTTATATTTAAGTGAATATCAAAAAGAAAAAGAGAAAAACTTTAAATAAAAAAGGTAAAACACATTTCAAGTCTAGCAACTTTATTTTTTTGGTAATCATTGGAGTTAAACGTAAATTACATTTTTTTTCTTCTGTAAAATACTGTTTATGTTGCTAATACTTTAAACCGAAGTAATAAAATTTAAAATAAACCTTAAATTCTTTTAGTAATTTTATTAAAATCTTTAAATTTAATTACTTATTGGCATTTGTTTCTCTAAACATATATTAATATTACCAATTAAGTCATACTTTTTTGAATTTTGGATTTAACACTAGTAGCATTTTTAATTTTTATACATTCAGAGACGAAAGTAATTTCGACATATATTTCTAGAGATTCAAAATGGTATTTTACCCTAAATAAAATGATTAACATGAAAAGAAAAATAAAAAACAATTAAATATTTTATAAATTTTTGTTGTAAATATATCATTAATTTCGAAAAAATGACAAGTTCTATAATTATTATTTTTTCTATAATTAACCTAAGTGTTAGAATGGTTAAAATGTTACGAACATTTTGGGGAATTCTAAAATTATTTAAAAGTAATTATTAATCAACTCGGTTACTTTTGTTAATGGTGTTGAGATATAAATTGGATTATATTGAGATTTCATTGAATAATTTTAATTTTTTTAATCATGAATGTACATACTTGAAAAGAGAGATCTAGTTGAAAGTAATGAATTAGGTTCTCGTATAAAACTTAATTATTTACAAAATTAATAAATACTTAAAAGTAATTATAAAAAATTTTATACAGATTTTGTAATTTACTGGAATATCTATTCATTTCTATACATCATATTCAAATGATCATTTGTCAAATGAGAGTTTTTAGAAATATCAATAAACATATTATTAGTATGGAAGATCTTTATTTAAACTTTAATATCGAATTTAATATTTTTTCTGCCTTTTTATTTGTCTTTTTTTTTTATATATAAAAAAATATTCTATATTTGTTTATCATCTTGAAAAGTAAAAAAACGATATTATTATTATTATTATTTTGATCATATCCTTATCCGAATCATAACCTTATTTATATTCATTAAAAAAATTCTTATTTACAACTTTCTAACTTTTAATATAACATTAATTATAATGATACAATGAATGCAATAAAATCAGAGAAGAGATAAATTAATTAACAAGTGAGACACTAAAAAGAATATTCCTTATTTTAATCGTAATTATAAGTAATAAATTATTTTTTATCCCAATTATATATAACAATTATTAAAGTTATTTAAAATTAAACTTTTTTTTTATATTTTTTCTATTTACTATGCTTTTATTAATAACTAAGATTTAATACAACAATCATTTAAAGTAAAATATATATCTAGAATAAATTTTGAATTTAAAGTGAAATAAATTAAAAATAATTACATTAATTTTTTTTTATATAAAATCTTAATAATTTATGTTATATTGATTATAATTAATGAAGGAAGTAATAATTTGTTCTCCTGTAGTTTATTCTTATTACCGATGAAGTGATGTGAGTTGCGAGAATTCCTAACCATTATTATTTTCAGATCAGAGATGAATCTTGCAATTTATTACAGCCACATGGCGGGATGGTTAATATAGAAAATTTCTATTTGCACAAACTCATTAACTTATGACACATCATAATCAAGATAACATCATAATCTGAATCCTCATTGTGATGAACCATTTCAATTCTATATTACCCTCCAATTAAAAAGCACACAAAATGATAAGAAAGGTAAAAAAAAGAAGAAGTTTTTCAATAATTATAGCCTTTGACAATCGTTGCACGCAGCACTGAAAAAGTTAAATAAAGGGTGGTGGCAATGCAATTGAATTGAGAGAAGAATTCACGTAGGGAGAGAGAAAAGGAAGAAAGAAAAATGCAGAAGCATGGTTTTGCATCGAAATGCAAAGGTGTGTTACCGTATCAGACGCCGAGACTAAGGGACCACTACGTTCTGGGGAAGAAGCTAGGACAAGGGCAATTCGGGACAACGTATCTCTGCACGCACAAGGTCTCAGGGAAGCTTTACGCTTGCAAATCGATCCCCAAGAGGAAGCTTTTGTGCCAGGAGGATTATGATGACGTGTGGAGGGAGATTCAGATCATGCACCATTTGTCCGAGCATCCCAACGTTGTTCAGATACAGGGCACGTATGAGGACTCCGTGTTCGTGCACCTTGTCATGGAGCTATGTGCTGGGGGTGAGCTTTTCGATAGGATAATTCAGAAGGGGCATTACAGCGAGAGAGAGGCTGCAAAGTTGATCAAGACCATTGTTGGGGTGGTGGAGGCTTGCCACTCTCTTGGGGTCATGCATAGGGATCTCAAGCCTGAGAATTTCCTCTTTGATACCACTGGTGAAGATGCCAAGATGAAGGCCACCGATTTTGGCCTCTCTGTTTTCTACAAGCCAGGTTCCTTTCACCCTTTTCAAAACACAAAACTTGTATTCTATGCACTTTTCTAAATCACTCGTGTTGGTGTTGTTCTCTGATCAGAATTGGAATTTTGCGAGGATAGTCTGTATTGACCTTAATAACAAACCTTTGTTGGACGGAATGATGTTGTTCTCTAATCAGAATTGGAATTTTATGACTTTAGCCTATGTTGGCCTTTACAACAAACCTTTGTTAGATGGATTACTGAGGTGAAACTTCAGTTTTGATAGGGAGATATTGTCATAAGCACCTAACAAGTTGCATATAAGTTTTGTCTATTTTGGAATGCATATACATGTGCTTGGTGATATTATCAATGCTTATAATGTGTGGTATGCTCTACAAATTTATTATTGATTATCAACATGTAGGTGGATATTTTTACCACCAAATAAAATGAAAAATAGACATACAAATTGCAAGGTTATTCCATGATTCGCATTTAGATAGAGGAGCTCAGCAGAAGGAATCTTCAATTGCATGATTCCCTTTTTGGATAGAGGAACTCAGTAGAAAGAATCTTCAATTCCATGATTCCCTTTTTGGATAGAGGAACTCGGTACAAAGAATCTTTAATTCCATGATTCTCATTTGGATAGAGGAACACAGAACAATGAATTTTCAATTCCATGATCCCCTTTTTGGATAGAGGAACACAGTACAAAGAATCTTCAATTCCATGATTCCCGTTTTTGATAGAGGAACACGATATAAAGAATCTTCAATTCCAGGATTTTCATTTGGATAGAGGAACACAGTACAATGAATCTTCAATTCCTAGACCCCCTCTTGGAAAGAAAAAAGTATAGTTTGGACGAAGGGGTTGACTGTTTGAATTTTAAAACAATATTTTGCATCAGATGCAATTTTATTTTATTTTTCCCAATGTTGAACATGATTTTTTTCCTTGGATATTTACTGCTATGTATTAAATGTGTATATGACTTACCATTGCCCTTTCATGTTTATTCTCAGGACAAACCTTTCATGATGTAGTGGGAAGCCCCTATTATGTTGCCCCTGAGGTGTTGTGCAAGCAATATGGACCGGAAGTGGATGTATGGAGTGCTGGTGTAATTCTATACATCTTATTGAGTGGGGTTCCACCTTTTTGGGCTGGTAATGATTCTAATGTGTATTGTAATTTTCTTGGACTAACATCTGTGAAGCCTTTTTTCTCTCTATATTATTTAGTCAGCTAGTTGTTATCTTCTTTGTGCCTGAGTTGCATTCACTTTTTCTATTACCTTCAGAAACCGAATCAGGAATTTTCAGACAGATTTTAAATGGAGAGCTTGATTTTGTTTCTGATCCGTGGCCAAGTATCTCAGACAGTGCTAAAGAATTGGTAAAACAAATGTTGGATAGGGACCCTACGAGAAGAATTTCTGCTCATGAAGTTTTATGTGAGTTCCTTGAGTACTAGTTGTAACTGGATTTTCATGTGCTACTGGTGTATGCCAGATCATTGCAGTGTCAAGGCTTTGTAGCAGATCTAACGACTATGAAGTCTTGTATAATCAGGTAACCCTTGGATTGTTGATGATAAAGTTGCACCTGACAAACCTCTGGACTCCGCTGTTTTGACACGCCTAAAGCATTTCTCAGCAATGAATAAACTTAAGAAGATGGCATTACGTGTATGTATAGTTATCATTATATGCCTTAACCCTTTTCTGTTTGATTTCAGCAATGATATTAATTTTCTTAAGATTTATGTTAACTTGATGAATGAGATAAACTCATCATATATTTAAAAGCTTTAAGTTGTATATTAGTATAAAACACTCGACTGCCTAATATGCAAATGTCTCCAAAAAGTAATGTGTGCCATAATTGCTAAGACTATCAAGACATTTGACTGACTGGAACAAAACTTTCAGTTGTCGGGCTTCTTAATTATTACCACATGATTTGTTTTGAATTTTTATTAACCAATACTTTGCATATGGGATTGTAAATCTGAATTTTTGATAAATCTAAGGATAGTGATGTCAAGAGATATGATGAATGTATATTATACAAAAAAATGGAGTATCGAAATACAGCTGCCATGTTAGTTAGTTATTTGAAATTATATATACAGAATTGTCAGTTTCTATGAATCCATTTCTTTCTTATATTAATTATAGCTGTTTCATTGATGGATAGTTTTATCCTTGTAAGATTTCTCTTTGTTCCAGTTAATATAATTAAATCAATTTTACAGTCTCTTCTTTTCAGCATATCAATTTTATAAAATTTGTATGCTCTACCGTTTTTTATATAGACTGGTTTTCATCTAAATCACGCACTAAAAGATTCAAAAATCTTTTTCAGGTCATAGCAGAAAGACTCTCAGAGGAAGAAATAGGTGGATTAAAAGAGTTATTCAAAATGATTGATGCGGACAATAGCGGGACAATAACTTTTGAGGAACTGAAGGATGGTTTGAAAGGTGTGGGCTCTAATCTCATGGAATCCGAAATCAAATCCCTTATGGAAGCGGTAGGTAGATTATCATTATCATAGTGTATGTAGACAAAGTTGTTTCATGTTATTTCAAATAACTTCATATCATTTTTTCTTCTTTTGTGGATGTTGAGCGGGGTGATCACTAAATGTCTTTCCTTGTGAACTTTGGCAGGCTGATATAGACAACAATGGAACAATAGACTATGGTGAATTTCTCGCTGCTACTCTGCACTTGAATAAGATGGAAAGAGAGGAGAATTTGGTTGCTGCTTTTTCCTATTTTGATAAAGATGGTAGTGGTTACATCACCATTGATGAGCTTCAACAAGCCTGTAAAGACTTTGGCCTAGGTGAAGTTCATCTGGATGATATGATCAAAGAGATTGATCAAGACAATGTAAGTTCCTCTAACTGTGTTTGCGTAATCACTGGTACATGCTGATGTGATTGTTCTCACTCTACTTAGTTTCACTAACAACTTCATTGTTGATCTCATGGAAGAGGTACTTGAGTTGTTTTTTTTTAATAATATGATGGTGGGGCTTTAGGTCCTAATTTTGTATCTTTTTTTTTTTTTTCAGGATGGGAGAATTGATTATGCGGAGTTTGCAACAATGATGAAAAAGGGTGATCCAGATGTTGGTAGGAGCAGAACCATGAAAGGCAATTTGCACTTCAACATTGCAGATGCATTTGGAATGAAAGAATCTTCTTGATATGCCACCTGAATTTTTTTGTACAGTTAGGACGCATGATGGTAGAAGAAAAATCATAGTCAATTTTTCTTAGCTGCGTGGTTATAATCTGTTTTGTATTGGAACTTTGTTTACCTTCTTAAGCAATGGTTTAATCTCTTTACTTGTTTAGAAACATTGGCTTGAATAATGTAAATTGGCTTGAATGGGTTGCGTTCACCAAAGAAAGGAAATATAGTGATGATATCACCTTGTGGCCACTAGTGTCATTATGCTGGCAGGTTTACCTTTTTATTATTATTTAACAATAATTCAAAGCCCAAAGGTCTAGCCAACTGATCATCGGGATAAAATATAAAATTAATTAGGCTAGGCCGTTGAACAAAAAAATGATAAATAACTATGATTTGATTGGTGTGATTTCCTTTAAAAAAAAATGGTGGGAGTTTAAGCAGCGAGTTTGAGTAACACTAGCCACAACATTGGGTTAGGACAAGTCATTAGTGTATTAACATTTCTTTTCCTGAACATGAAAGATTATTTGTATCTCTTCTCAGTGGAGTTAAAATTGGTTTTGTAGGGTACGGTGTGTCCGAGCGTATTTCAATAATCAATTATAATTATATTTTTTTTACATAAGTTTATTGAAAAATATTTTTATAATTTTTAATTTTGTTTAAATAAAAAATTAAACTTTTATTTTGTAAATCAATTTTAGAAGAAAAAATTGTTTAAGAAATAATTATAAACTTTAAGTTTCCAGCGGCTTATTTTTCGTATAAAAGAAGAAGGTTTTTTTTTTTTACAAAGAATAAAAGTAGTCAGTGTTATATATTTAGTTCATCAAACTAAAAAAATGTCAAATAAACTCTTGAATTTTATTATTTATTATATTTTGATCTTTCCAATATTGTCATTTTTGACATACAATAATTTAGGAATATTATAATTATTAATTTACATTTTCAAAGACTTATTTGACATTTTTTTTAATCTTAGGTACTAATATGATAACACATTCTAAGTATAAGGATGAAAATGATTATTTACTTTTTTTTTACACAAATTTTAGTTGTTGTTTTAAACATATAACTTATTTTTACACAATTTTTTTTCTTTACAAAAAAAAAAAGTATTGTTATAAAAAGATTATTGTTAGTCGTCCATAAATTTATAGTTTTTTTTTTTTTTTTACTTTTTTAGTACAGACGACAGGTAATACTGTTTGAGAACTCCATATTGGAACAACATGTAACAGTTGATCCAATTGCTTAGTAGCCAGTAATTTTGATAATTTAAAGTAGATATAGAAGAAAGAGAGAGAAAAAATTGAATGAAATGATCATGCACGTGTGTTGATGAGAATTGAAGTGAGAAAATGGTGGTGATGCGTTCAAAGTGTTGGATTGAGTTGACAATTGTTACACAGCACTGAAAATGTGGCACGGTGATCGTGGGAATGGAAATATAGATTAATATATAGTAGTAATAGTAGCAGCATAGAAAAATTGACAGAAAATGTCTGAGGGAGGAAACAAAGTGGCGAAGGAGAGTAACAGTAACAGGTCAAAAAATGTGTTGCCGCAAGCGACCCCTCCATTGAAGGAGCACTACGTGGTGGGCAAGGTGGTGGGGAGAGGGCACCTGGCGACGACGTTCGCGTGCACGCACAAGGAAACGCGCAAGGTCTTCGCCTGCAAAACCATCCCAAAGGCGAAGCTGTTGAGCCAAGAGGATTGCAACGACGTGTGGAGGGAGATTCAGATAATGCACCATTTGTCGGAGCACCCCAATGTGGCAAGAATAGAGGGAACCTATGAGGACAAATTCACCATCAATTTGGTCATGGAGCTCTGTGCCGGGGGTGAGCTTTTCTATAGGATCAGTGAGAAGGGCCATTATAGTGAGAGAGAGGCTGCAAAGTTGATGAAGAACATTGTTGGAGTGGTCCAGGCCTGTCACTCTCTTGGTGTTATTCATCGAGATCTCAAGCCTGAGAATTTCTTGTTTGATACCACTGCCAAGAATGCTCAGATGAAGGCTATTGACTTTGGCTTCTCTGTCTTCTACAAGCCAGGTTCCTTCATTCTTTTTCTATTCAATTCAATTTATCCAGACAGGGGTCGAGAAACATATAAATGAAAAGCATATTGAATCGATACTTAGTAACTTCATTAGAATCGCGAGCAATGGAACGAGGAAAGGCTTATCTCTATTTGACAGTTAAGATTTCCCACATTGTTGTGCATCACAAAATTTTCTAATGGAGCAATAATTTTATAGTCACGAAATATCCCTGGTTTGGGTACCAAGTGAAAGTTCAATCTATCATACACCCATTCACATACAATTCCAAATCTTGGTCACATGATTCACTCATTTTACTAAGAACCACAAATTAATACGTGTGTACCAATTCGCATTACATTTTCAAATCGGGTTGCCAAAATTCGTCGATAAATTCTTGAAGGAGACGAACCAAACAAAATGAAAAGATTGCAGGTAGTTGCTAGGAACTTTTTAGAAAATTGTGGACAGCCAAACTTCTATTAGGCTAAGGAATACTCCAGAGACAAATCCCTAAATTGCTGGAGAAGTAGTGCAATAGGCTATCAACCACCAACCCGATGACACAAACATATATATGGGACACGGCTAATGTCTAAGATACAAGACACGCATACACACGTGCATATATATATATATATATAGGGATAGATCAGATTAGGCCATTGCAACTCCACTTGACACTTAGTGCGGTTTTAAAATAGAATCTAACAGTCATTTTAGAGTATCTACTTAGTACACGTGAATGACTTACCGTTGCCTTTTCTTGTTTCTTCTCAGGACAAACATTTGATGATATAGTCGGAACCCCCTTTTATATGGCCCCTGAGGTGTTTCACAGACAATCTGGACCAGAAGTAGACGTATGGAGTGCTGGTGTTATCCTATACATCTTATTGAGAGGGATCCCACCTTTCTGGGCTGGTAATGATCCTAATGCGTGTGTGTTGTAATTCTCTTGGGCTAACAACTATGAAGCTTTTTTTTTTCTCTCTCTATATATATCATTTGTTGATCTACTTCCTATCTTCCTTGTGTTTGAGTTGCATTCGCTTTTTCTATTACCTTCAGCAACCGAATCAGGAATTTTTCAACAGATTTTACATGGAGAGATTGATTTGGTTTCTGATCCATGGCCAAGTATCTCAGAAAGTGCTAAGGATTTGATAAAACGGATGTTGGATAGGGACCCCAAGAAAAGAATTTCTGCTCATGAAGTCTTGTGTGAGTTCCTTGAGTACTAGATTTTCATGTGCAACTGGTGTATGGCAGTTCATTAGTGTCAAGGCTCTGTAGAAGATCTAACGATTATGGAGTCTTGTATAATCAGGTCACCCTTGGATTGTTGATGATAATGTGGCCCCGGACAAACCTCTGGATCCCGCTGTTTTGACACGCCTAAAGCATTTCTCAACAATGAATAAACTTAAGAAGATGGCATTACATGTATGTTTAGTTATCATTGAATGCCTTACCCTATTTTTGTTGATTTCAATGATAATATCAATTTTGCCTTGATATTATCAACTTGTTCAATGAGATAACCTCATAACTTATAGATGACATAGAAGTTGCATGAGTCTTTTTTATTAGACGGGGTATCTAAATCTGGATGTCATGTCACTTAGTATTTATTTGAAATTATATATACAGAATTGCCAATTTCCATGAATCCATTTCTCTCTCATATTTGAGATTTCCACATTTGATGGTTATTTTTATCCTTTGCAAGGTTTATGCTGTTCCCGTTAATGATGATTAAATTATTTATATAATCTCTTCATTTCAGCATATCAATTCATATATATTTTGTAAGATTTGTATGCTCTATCCGTTTTTTATTTAGTCTGGTGTCATCTAAATGATGCACATATATTGTACATTCAAAAATTCTTTTCAGGTCATAGCAGAGAGACTTTCGGAGGAAGAGATAGGTGGATTAAAAGAGTTATTCAAAATGATTGACAAAGATAATAGTGGGACAATAACTTTTGAGGAACTCCAGGAAGGTTTGAAAAGTGTGGGCTGTGATCTCATGGAATCTGAAATTAAATCACTTATGGATGCGGTAGGTAGATTATCATTATCATAGATTGTAAAACAAACATAAGTTCATATAACTTTTGCTTCTTTCGTGTATGTTTTATTCTGTGATCGTTAATTGCCTTCCCTTGTGAATTTTGGCAGGCTGATATAGACAACAATGGAACAATAGACTATGGTGAATTTCTTGCTGCTACGCTGCATTTGAATAAGATGGAAAGAGAAAATAATTTGGTTGCTGCTTTTGCCTATTTTGATAAAGATGGTAGTGGTTCCATCACCATTGATGAGATTCAACAGGCTTGTAAAGACTTTGGCCTAGGTGATGTGCAGTTGGATGATATGATCAAAGAGATTGATCAAGACGATGTAAGTTCCTCTATATGTGTTTGTGAAATCACTAGTACATGTTCACAAACAACTTCGTTGTTGATTCCAATTTTAGTTTAACAATAAAGTTGATGACATTACTTGAACTTATTATCTCTAAAGTTAGTGAAAGAGAAATATACTTCTACTTTTTTTATTCTTTTGGAAGTCGGCCATCTGGATTACAGACCTGGGATGCCTTTGGAAAGTTAAGTAGAAGAAAATTTTGGATGATACCAAATTTAGCTATTTATTGCAAGCTGTAGCTCAGTTGTTTGTATCATTATTTGAAAATTATGATTGCGGAATTTTAAAATTAACCCATTACAGGAATAAAAGTCAATAATCATGTATTGGGCTGTGAATTATGATTTGGGTTGAATGTAAACATTTGTGGAATTCGTTTTGGATGTTACAAAGAAAAAAAATCTTACTCACCACATGGGTAATTCTATAAGGATGAAGTTAACAAAGCAAAGAGATAGATTATGATTTGGGTTGAATATAAATAATTGTGGAATTGTTTTGCTCTTTTTTTTTGTTAAATTTTATCTTAAAAATAATTAAAATTAAGTTTTCCAACAGATATATAAGTTGCATCCAACACTCCTCTCCCCATCCACAACAAGATGTCTACTAGAATTGACGATTTACAAAGATAGATTTTAGGTTTTGATATTTTGTTAGATTTCATCAAAAAGTCAATTGGTGTTAAGTAAAGTTGTCCGATAAAAATATAAGTTGAACCCCAATATTGAAGCAGACAATGGGAGACTCTCCAATATCTTTTTTATAGAGTTTTTCCAATTTATTTGTTATTTTATTGAAACTATTTATTTCTTGATTCTGTCCAAGTAATGGCTACTATGGTACTAGTTGTCTTTTACATTAAGTTTGAAGTATTTCTCAAATTATAACTTCAATATATTTTTCATTATTAATACATGAGAAATATTCTTTATTAATTTCCAACAAAATAATAATTTAGATCCTCTCATGACAGTAAAGAGATGACATTCTGGAGTCAAATGTTTGTTTCATTAGTATGGGTTTGACATGAATTATCTGTTGTGGGTTCATAGTGACTCCATAAGGATTTCTAGTTCAAAGAAACTTTTGCTTTGTTTTTCCACTTCTGATTTCTACCATTGACGTGTCTATTTTAATCTCATTCAACAGGGAAAGTGCTTTTAGTAAATATTTACAAAATACTCAGGTTTTTAAAACAACTTTTTAAATATCATCACCCCACATTACTTTTATTTCAGCTCTATGGATCATGCTGCATTAATCTGTGTTGCTGACTTTGGGGAAAATGTTAGCAGTCCTTTCTTGACAATGGCCTCTCAAGTCCTTGGGATTTTAGTATGCTCCGTTTGCCTAAACAGATATCCCAATACGGCTTTTCCTTCCGTGATATTTGAATGAAGTTATCTACGATACCTTTCTCTCTTAGGTGCTTGAGGCATTTTTTTCTTCTATGTTGTGGGGCTTTTGGTTCTAACTCTATATCCTTTTTTCCAGGATGGGAAAATTGATTATGCGGAGTTTGCAGCAATGATGAGAAAGGGTAATCCAGATGTTGGTAGGAGCAGGAGTAAGAAAGAGAATTTGAATTTCAATATTTCAGATGCATTTGGCGTGAAGAAGTCTTGACATACTACATACATAAATTCTTTTGTACAGAGAGGAAGCACGATGATAGAAAAAAAATCATAGTCAATTTTGCATAGCTGCATGGTTACAATCATAGTCAAATTCTTTAGAAACATTCAGTGAAGTTGACTATATTCAACATGTATAAAATGTAAATTGGCTTGAATGGGTTGCGTTCACCAAATAGAAAGGAAATGTGATGCTATTATTTTTCGAGCAAATAGAGGGAGAAAAGGATAGAGAATAAAAGACATTCTTTACCTTGTGGCCACTACTAGTGATACTACGTTGGCTCGATCATCGATTTTAATTTTATAAAATTTGAACATATTTAGGGATTAATCTACTATTTAGGGAATAAAAGATCTATAAAATGAATTAAAAACTCGTTATAGAATTGAAAATAAAAAAAAAAAAAAAATTAACTGAGATTAAAAGATTTTAAAAAAATTAAGAATCTAAAAGTAGAGAATCTCAATTCCTGATGATGGTGGTTTAAAGAAAATTGAAATAAAACATGTTTAAGATGGTATGAAAAAAAAGAGAGAGAGAGAGAGAGAGAGAGAAGTAAAACCCGTTTAAAAATTATTTTGTTGGGTGAATAATAAAAAAAGGCTTTGTGGGAAGAGAAAACGGATAGGAAAGGAAGAGAGGATAGATAGGCCTGAGCCTGAGACAGAGAGAGCGAGAGAGAGGTCTCTCAGAAACAAAAAATGGCGACTGCCACTGTTTCAATTTCAACACTCTGCGCTACTTTCGGAACCCATTGCGCCATTTCCCACAACCCCAAATCACAATTTTCTCAACCTTTCAATTTCAATCGCGTTTCTTCTCACTCTTACAACCTCACTTTCTCGCCCCGCTTACCTCTCTCGCCCCTTCCTAAGTCCACAGAATCTGCGGTGGCCCAAACCGAAACCGGTTCGACCGACCCCGAACCGGCCCAAATTGTCCCGGCCCAGCCTCCCTCCTGGGAACCTGGTCTCTTCGCTGTTGTAATGGTGAGTGCTCAATTCTTAATTAACTCTTTTTCGGTGACCCAATGTGGAAAAGTTGCAAGCTTTGATTTTAAATTATTGACCCAGATTAGATTTCTTAGTGCTATTGTCATTGAGTAAAATAATTGCTAAATCTGATTAACTGAAGTTTGTGCTGGATGGGTAAATAGGTGCTTTTGGGAGGGTTTATACAAATATTATCTTGTTTTTGTGTGCTTCTGAACTTGTGCTGTTGCCTTGTTTAGGTTGGTTCACGCCAATACATTGTTCACCCCGGGAGATGGATTGTTGTTCAGAGGTTGAAAGGTGCTAATGTTAATGATAAGGTACATGTCTTATTTACTTGTTCTTAACTTCTGTCATTTAACCACAATAGTCAAGCTTTGTGCATCATTTTTTACATTCATTCAATACTTTTTTTCTGTATTTAATTAAGACCATCACCAGCTTACTACCACCACTTTCTCCTTAAACTTTATTTCTGCCATTTTAATGTGATGGAAGCTGGATAATAATTAATTGAATAGTGAATACCAGTATAGTGTTTATGTATGCACAAATGCATGAATTACAGTATCTCATTAACAAACTGACAATTATCTGTTCATTCATTAAATCAAACTTCTGTCTCTCTCAGAGGACACGATAGATGTTGTAAACTTTTGGCTCATATGTTGCTCGCAAAAATATGAATTCTCAATTCCCTTTTTGTGTTTGTAAGATTGATAATCGTGAAATTTTACCTGATTATATCTATAATTTTTTTGTCAATATATGATTGAGACTTATAAATGATCTGAACCATCGCTTATGACCTGTAATTTTAAGGGTTCCAACACAAATATATTTTAAGAGTTTGGCCTAAGCTGGGGAATGAAATCATTTACCAGTGGTTAGGGGTGATTCAGGCTAAAGTGATAATATTATATAAATAACTGCTGTTATTTTCAAAGCTTATTTTATTATTAGTTTAATTTTAGCTGTTGGGAACTACAGATTGCCTTACATAAGGTTTTGCTGGTTGGCACTGATACATCTTGCTACATTGGGAAACCAATAGTAACTAATGCTGTGGTATATGCAACGGTGGAAGAGCAGGTACACCTCTTTCTTTTTGTTCCTTTTCTCCATGTAGGATTAAAAAACAAATAAAAAGCTTCTACCTTAACTTCTTTTTTTTTGTTTTCCTCTTAATGCAGGGTTTAGACCCCAAAGTAATTGTCTTCAAATATAAAAAGAAGAAACACTATCGCAGAACCATTGGACACAGACAGGTACTACAGTTCTGCTTTTACTTGTGCAATCAAATTATTTATCAAATATTTTGCATGGCTAGAGAGTAGTTGAGAATTATCTATTTGAAGGGGTGAATTCTTGTACCTTTAACTCTGAGGGGAGCCTGAAAATATTTGAATCCATTTTTTTTGTGTGTGACTAGGGGTAAATATGTTCTTGGTCAGAATAAGTCATTACAAGAAGCAGTAATACATGCATGAAAATTGTTTAAATGTATTTACCGTCCTTGAATTTTTAATTTCTATTTCTTTTATGTAGTTATTTTTGGTGAAGTTGAACTCAACCAGGGGAGAAACTAATAAACCACTGCATTGTTTTTTATCTTTATATTTATCGTTTCCATTAAGCTTCTATTTCTCATTCAAATAGTACTTTTTCATATTTTTTTATCTCTGATTTTGGTTCATTATGATGAACCAATTAGGAAAGGCCAATCTCCATTACAAATTCCGTTTTGCATTAGTTCATAATCTTGTTTTGGAGAGGAAAAAAAAAAAAAAAAGTGGGAGACAAAACACTAGTGAACTTGTCCCTTTTAGTGGAACAATTTGGTAGAATGAGCTGTCTGAGCTTTTGAGAAATGTAGAAGCAAAATGGCAAATTTTGGTTATCATTTTCTTTTTCATGCCTTTGGAACCATAATTTTCGGGAATCAGATATCTCATTCCATGGCAGTCATAATCACTTCACCATGCCTTCTTAAGGTGGCTATAATCACATCTAGAATGGTTCACCTATCACACTGAGTGGTGCAAGATATTTTACAATGCAATTAATGTTATGCTAATTAAAATCATTTAATGATTTATTGAATCTGATATGAAAATTAAATTAGCATCTCACCAAATAAAGCTTGTTAGATTTGCGTTTAACTTTTAGCTTTTTAATTTAAAAATATGATTTTGACCTTGTGTTTGAATTGCTTGACATTGTGCTGATTTTCAACATATAACAGCCAAATACACGTTTACGGATAAATAGCATTATGGGCTATGAGAACTACCCGAAGGTTACTATGGACGATTTAAAATCGGAGGATTCCCAAACGGAGGATTCCCAATCATGAACATCTTATGCACTGTGCCTATACTGTAGCTGCTTTATCTTTTTAATTACATGCTATCATTTCGCCATTATTCGTTTTGCTTTAATTAGAAATGCAATGTAATGTATGCCATATTGTAACATTGTATTTTTGTAATCCCATGTTTCCTAATACATTGCTATTTTTCTCTCTCCAATTTTCACGTGCCAATTTTAATCCCTCCTATAATGAGCCTGTTAACTAGAGTAGTTTGTTTCAAAATATCAAGAAAGATTTCTGGGTAAGTGAAGTTGGAAACATCATATAATGAGCCTGTATGGTACAAGTTTTGCATAGGAGAATTGTTGATTCGCAAAAATACTAATGACCAACATTTGTCTATTTATTTTCGTAGAGAAAAATGGATATCTTGTATTTTAATAGGAGTGGAAGTTATTTTCTACAATAATTATTTATCACCATTTCACTCTTATTTTTTAATTAAATATTTTTTCTTTGAAATTACTAAATACAAACCAAACATACTTATGGGAACAATATTCCTAAATATATTGTTTCTAAGAATGTGATTTTTGGAAATATGATTTTGGTTCAATTACTTATTCTCTTAATTTGTCATGATCTTAACCCTCCAAACATCAAAGGTAAATACACATTTATTTGTGCACATCAAAACAAGCAGACCTTGTAGGAACCTTGTTTTGTTGCAATATCATTTTCCATGCTTTTTATGTTATTGGATTTATTTTGATTTTTGACAATGATTTTTAATTATACTCCATTTTTTTTATGAGAATAAGAAAATAGGGGAACAAATTTTATTGATTGGTCAAAAATAAAACTAAAAGAAAGAAAACTTTATATTCAAGTTTTTTAAGAGGAAAAAACCCCCTAAATTCCCATGTTTGCTATCATTTCAAAAAATTTGAATTTCCTCTCCTTTCTCATATTTTCTCACGAAAGGAACAATGGATTCAAAATTGTTAATGTAGCTCCATTTGGCACCTGTGCTACTTATGACGGGACAATTGCGCTACTTAGCCACTTGATGTCCAATGGCCAATTACCAATGTTGTACCCGAACCATGCAAAAGGAAAATAGGAAAATAGGAAAATTCGAGTGATTATGGCATTTCTTTTAACCGATATTGATTCTCTACTTCAAAAATATCAATCATATTCGAATAGGCTCTTTCTCTAAATCCACCCTTGGCCATAGGCTCTTTCTCTAAATCCACCCTTGGCCATACATATACATCCATACATCCATTTGCCAAGAAAAAAATATCTCGACTCCTTTTCTCCTGTTTTATCTTCTAAATAATGACTTCAAGAGCAAATTTTTTAAGAGAAAAATATCCCAACCCCTTTTCTTCTGTTTTAGCTTCTAAATAATGACTTTTAAGAGAAAAAATGTTACAAACTGACAGCATAAAACACAATCATCCAATTACAAAAAAAAAATTATGTCAAATTTGTTGACTTTTACAAAATTATCTTAAAATCCCGTATCAATAATAACTTTTATTTGATCGATAGTATAAAATCTTTTACAATGATAATGCAAATCATAACTCGTTTATTAATGGCATACTGTTCATCAGAATTCGACAATATTATTAATAATAAGTAATAACTATACATAATGTGTTATAATTTTGATGGAAGTACATAATAAATCGTGATGAATTCATCTTATCTAGAACGCAAGCAATGGAATGAAACTAAACACCAACTCAAGTACAGATTGCAACATTTGCTGATATTATATTAACATCAGTACGTTTCAACCTAAGTTCAAACGCAATCATGGATTGGACAATATCAGAGGGTGAATGTAATAACAGGAAGAGTAATGATCGAAATTCCCTAATATTATATGTTATATTGAATAAAGAAAAATAGTACAGGGTAAAAAGTCAGTTCCTATATGGTGCGAAGCACGTATTGATACAGCATAGCTGACGCTAAACAATCACCACATCCTTCCTGATGCCATCAAGGCCAATATATGAGTAGTAATTTAATGCTCCAACAAAGCCTCGTGAGCCGTAGCTGAATTGGTAGCTCACCACTCAGCTAAGTCTACCCTTACTCTCTCCACACGATCAAAAATAAAAAAAGGGAAACAAAAAAAACACTTTGGCTCCACCACAGAAAATAAAATGGAGCATATGCCACTGTTCTAGTTAATAACGATACATCCTTCTTTCTTTTCTTTTTCATGGATATTTTTCTTAAATATTATCTTCTCTGATCCACTGTCATCATCTAATTAGATCACGTAAATTGCCTTTTGACAAAATGGATTATGCAAGCTCAGCCAGCGCAACTTCATTCATATACTCGCTTCCTCTTCAGAAGTGTTGGACATATGGAAACAAAACCAATGAGGAAAAGTACTGATAATGTCTTAAAATCATATAGGTCCTTAATTGATTTTAGATCCCCAAGGGCGAGACCAGCCTGGTTGAACAACAATGGAGACGTTAGGAGTATGATTAAAGAAAAGCAAAAGAATCGTAACCACAAATGCGAGGACAAACTAGCATAGAAGCTATTTAACCTCTTCATCCATAACTTAGGAATTATAAGAAACGACAAATCATGTTGATTGAAATCAAAATGAGATAACAAGGTGAAATTAAGAAAACCGTACTAACATGTGATCGGCAACAGCCCAGTTCAAACGAAGAAAAACAAAATGTATATGATCAATAAACAAAGGAACTGTCCTCAATTCCTTATCACATCAAATACCTCATCCAGCCAGTGGATTTTCATTTGCAAAGCTTGAGAATTAGGGAAATATCTTAAATCCTAAGTCACAAGGATTGGGGATGCTTAACTTAAGTTGATCATCCATCCAATATATTTTGTAAGAAACATGCACAAAGACCCTTCATCCTTCTTTTCTTCATTTTTCTCCAAATAAGATGAGGTTTCAAGCTTCAAAAGTTAAAAGTTCCAAATGCAAAAGCCCGAGTTGTTGAAATCAAGATCATATAGACGGGGGAAAAGAAACACGTAATCCCTTGGATCTTACTTGCATGGTAAGATCCTACAAAAAATACAAAATTATATTTAAATAAATATTTTTTTGGTGTTCAATAAGGCAACATGTTTTTATCGTCTCACTCACACAACCTGATCCACAAAATCACCCGTCTGCAACTGGCAGAAAGGGATTAGGGAAACAGAAACTTTACATACCGGATTGCAAAATCTGACCCAGTAGGTTTTGGGGCTCAAACAAGTGGCAAGTGGGGAGCAAAGATCACAGGGGTTCACATGTTTCCCCATATCCTAGTCCAATTCTACCATGTGGCAATCCTGCATTGGCTTAAGCACCAAGAAGCAGGACAAATAGTAGGAGTGCAAAATCATGATCTTGACAACCTTAAAAATCCTATACAAGATGTTCACTAACTAAAATGAGCTCAAACACAAAATACTCGAGGCACACTTACAACACAAGCTTTTCAAAAAAAAAAAAAAATAGTAATCTGAGTGAAACTAGAAATGCAATTATGTCCTAAAATAACATAGCAAAGCAGGCTCAGAAGCTTACTCTGACAGTAATATAAGAGGCCGGAACAAGACCAATCAACGTGGCCAAAAAGAATATGTGAAACGGAACATCAACAATGGGAGACGCCAAATTGATGAAGAGATTTGGCAATGTGGGGGTTATCCTCAGAAAAAGCATGTAGTTCAGCAGCTTATCCCGACGCTTTGCAATCTGGAAGAAAAATCCAAATTGGAATGCGTAGCCATATAAAAACAAAAAACTATTTGTTTTGAAAAACAAACCTCAGCTTGGAAGAACCTGAGCTTCTCAGGCCAGAGCCAAGAAACCAAAGGCCTTCCAATTAACTTGGAGAGAAAGAAACAGGAAGAAGCACCGGCAGTGGCGTTGAAAACAACCAACAAGATTCCTCGAACAACTCCGAAGAGCGCCCCCGCCAAGAGGGACATGAAGATTGTGCCGGGAATCATGAAAGTCTGCATGAAGATGTAGGTGGAGCAGTACCCAAGAATGAACTGTGCAGGGTGGTTTCGCGCATAGGTCGAGAGGTGTTCCCTGCAATAATCGAAACAAATAAACAACAATGGGAGAAAAATAAGAAAGAAAAGATTTTGATTAGGTTAGGTTTAGGGTATTGACTTGAGGAGGCGGAGATCGGAGAGGGTGCGGGGGAGTGTGAGGTTGGTGTAAGCGGAAGAGGGCATGGTGAGGTAAATGCAGAAGAGGCCGGTGGAGAAGACGAAGAAGACGGTGACGGCGACGGCGAATTCCCACGTGTTCAGTGGGAACCTCTCCGATTTGGGCTTCTTGGCGGAGGGTGAATCGTCGTCCTCTCCCTTCTCTTCGTCCCTCGTCGCCGTCACGTTCCTCGGCGCCGCCATCTCAGATCCAATCACCCAAGTCTCATCGAATTCTATTCAACCGCCCAATGCTTCTTCTCCTTCGATTTGGGGGAAACCCTAAGATTTAGAGAGAGAAAGGATGCTTCTGCGCTGCAATGGATTTGAACAAGAGAGAGAGAGAAAGAGAGAGAGAGCTTTTCAACTTTGAACAACATAAGAATTAAAGAAGAACAGTGTCATTGTTTTTTAGGGTCATTTTTTTATTCTTATTGCAAAGTTTCATGCTTTCCTTTTATAATTTTATTACAGGATTTTATTTTTATAAATAGATCAAGTAGCCACACTTTTTCTAACATGTCTTTCCTTATTTGTCGGTAAAATTTTAAAAACATATTATCATTTTTAATAAATTTTACTTTAATATAATAAAAAAATCAATAAAAACATACTTATCTATCAATTATACTGAACTTTTTTAATATCAATCAATATTCTCAAACGAATAATATTTAATAATTTTCTTTTTAAAAATTATGTAATTAATGTTTTCTTAATATATATTTCAAAAAATCCTCTTAAAATAAGATAATGTCACATTCTCAGCAAAAAGATATATTTAATGGACCAGCAAGTATAATGCAATCCAATAAAACCTCTTAATAAGGGATAATATCACTTCATATTTGAATATCCCTTATTCTTTTACAAGTAGTGTCTATTACAATTTTGACCAGATTCCAAAGAATTTTAGAAGAATATTCTCTCTATGTGCTGCTTATTAAAAGGAGAAATCAAACAACAAACACACAAAAAAATTTTGAAAAAATCAGCGTATAAAATTGATTAATCATAAAATTTTTTGAAAAAAATCAGCATATAAAATTATTAACCACCATTCCACCAACATGGTAAGGCCTAACAAAAATGTTAAAATGAGTTTACTCAAATTCACTTGTACGAATTACTTTAAAAATGAGTTAATCTAATTCAACTCATAAAATATAAGTAAAAAATACATAATTTAATTTAATTGGCTACAAGTTAGTGACTTAAGTGAATTGACTTATAAATTATGTCACTTAATTTAAAAAATAAATACAAAAAAGATATAATAACATAATTACAAAAAGACATATAATGTAATAATAAATAACAACAAACTGAAATAATATGAAAATAAAAACAAAGGACTTTTTTTTTTAAATGTTAGAAAGAAAAAAAATAGAAACAAGTTAATGTTGGTTGGCTTAGCACATTTTGGTAGTTAGAATAGTTGAATTAGGTCAAATTAACCTACAATAAAATAAGACAATATTTTTCTAACTTTTTTATCTCATAAGTTAAGTTAGTTCACAATTTGAAACTCGTTTTAATATCTATAAGGAAAAGAGTCTAGTCTTTCATAACGTCACAATTAGATGTTTAAATTTTTACTTGGAAAAGTATCTACATTTAATGTCCAATAGTGTAGTAAACAATGTTGTCTTCAAAGGAAGATTCTAGTGAGCTACCTAAAATTTTAGATATCATGAAAATAAGAATTTGTGATTATGTTTCAATTGAAAAATCAACATTGTTAAAAGAAAATTGAAATATAATAATATAATGTTAAAAGATATACACAACTTGCTCAATGTGTTGAATCAAGTTTAGTTAAATCAAATTCAACTAGAATTTATTATGATTTTTTCATAATTATTTTACATATTTTGTTATTTATTTTACATGTAAATAAAAATAATAATTAAAAAAATATATAAATTTAATAATATGTGTTTATATATGTATATTTGTATATGTTGAAATGATTCATGAGTCGAATTACACATAACTCAAGTTTAACTTATCAATTTAACAATTCATTTTTTAACCCAAGTTTCTCTCATTTGGTTCATAAGTTAAGTTTAACGAATTAATTGTCGAATTAAGTCTCAAACTAAGTTTGAGCTAATTTGATTCATTATCATCCTTACTTGTGGCTAAGAGAGATAACAAATCTTCATATTATTATAATTTTAGTTATATTTTATACACACATATAAGTTTGTATTTATGTAGGATTGTCATTAGTTGAATGTGGTCATTGTGATGGGTTTATCTTGAAGAAGAAATAAGTTTGGACCATGGTTTAGACATTTAAGTTAACATCTCCTTTACTATGCAACTATTTCATAGTGAATAGAGGTTGTTGTTCACTTTTGATGAGAGGTGACACATGAACACAAATTCCTTTTACCTTTCAATTAAGGAGATGGTCATCACTCTAGATAATGTGTCAACTCTCTTATACTTTTTTTTTCATTACGGAGTTGTGTTCATTATCATTTTTAGTCAAAAATGATGCTTACTTGTACCTTATGAATCTTCTTGAGGTTACCATTTTAGAGACATTCACATAGATTCTCATGACTTGGGGACACACAAATCGGATTAAGTTGGTTGCAAATTTTGTTCAAGATACACACTGATTGGTGCTTTAAGTATGCAACAAGAACTTTTCTACATTGTGTTTCATCATCTTTGTTAACAAGAGTGTCACATATGTTGATGAGACATTCTTAGAGATATTCTAGATGTATGACAAGTATGCATAAGGTGAATATATTTTTGTTTACTTGTTTGATCATCCTGATGATGCTAACATGCAATGTCAACCCAATATATTATTATGCCTAAAATAAATCTCAATGTGAGTTTTTTTAAAAATTATTAATGATATCTTTTGATAAAAAATAAAAATATTTTAGAGATGGATCTTGAAAAAAAAAATATTTATATATCTTTTAGAGACAAATATTTAAAAATAAAATTTTAAATACAAAAAATAACTTTTAAATATCCCTTAGACTAAACTTACTAATATGTATTAGAGTTAATCATCTATATACTGTCAGTGTAACTGTCAACCAATCATATCTTTTAATAGTGTCATGTTATTTGCTTATTTAATAAACTAAAAATAAAAAAAATAATTTAAAAGATATGATCGATTGTCAGTGTAAAGTTTTTTATATTGGTAGTGTATGGATGATTAACTCTATATATTATTCATGTGAATTAGGATATTATACGACTATTCTACAAGTATTAAAGTGTGTATTTTATTTTATAGAGTTTTGTTGTATATTTGTGTTAATTCAATTAGCCATGTAAAATATAGTTAAAACATGGATTTTTAAGCACTTTTTGAACATTGATTATTCTCGATTGATGCTTGAATATACGAAGGACGCATCCTTTGCCTGTTGGTGGGCACGTGTTAGGGATGCAACTTGCAAGTAACATGTTCCCACTCTGCACTATAATGAATGTATTGCAAATGAATGATCTCTCGTAAGTAGAGGTATTTTTACGACATTTGTTATTGTTAGGCTACTTCAAATGTGACTCATCAGTGCACCTTAATCTACTATAAAAGGTGTTATAACAATTTTGTTGGACTAGCACGGCAAAGTATAATTCGAGTGACTTTCATCCTTGTTTGGTAAGTGTATACATATTAAATCTTATATATTTTATGACAATTACATTATTCTATTCCTCAAATATGTTATGTTAATTATGCAACTTTAGTCCATAAACAAAGATGGTATATTTTTGTAACACTACATGATAGGAGTGATCAAAATTTGCCGAACTATTTGTAAACTAACAAACTCAGATAATGCATGCACATTGGGTTACTGTTTTTTGGGCATTGGATGAAATAATATAAAGTTTCGGTTTCAGATGGACAATTTGGCAACTGCAGGTTGAAAAAAGATAACCCATCAAAACGCGCACTCGACTGACTAATAAAAGAAAAGAAATTTTTTTATGTATAAATGACCTCGTAAAAAAAAAAAGTATGTCACTATTTACCGCAAAAAAGTCTGTCACAAAATTGTGAAGTTACAACTTATAATAATAATAATAATCTAAAAATGTGTGTCAGTGTAGGAAAAAAAAAATCAAAATGCGTAGCAATGTATAATATTTTTTTTTTAAAAATTAATCATAAAGGGAAGAGGGTTTCATATATATATATATATATATATATATATATATAT